TTTGGGGCCATCACATGAGTCGAACATGGCTCCTCTTTTTGTTTTTAATGATACAACTATGAGTAGAATAAGTGACTCGATGTCAACATATAATGACATTTGCTGCGTTATAGCTTATTCATGTTGACACCAGGACAAAGGCCTTTCAGTAATCAACAGACTGTTTGACCAAATTAAACTGAAGACCAAAACTGGAGCAAATTGTCAAAACACAATACAACACTACTCTTCAAATGTTCATTTTTTTTGACAACATTAAAATTATGAATTTAGTTTTGGCGCCTGATTCCTGACGGAACATAGTTAGTCTTACCTCTCAGTTTGAACCACAGGATTTTACAAGGCCACAGTCTGCTGCCCCCCAGAGGATTTCCCTGCACTCACACTACGCCCAGGTTTAGTTCGATGCCATGTCCGATTGTCCCACAGGGAGTGTTTTAGTGCACTGACCCATTTTTATAATTTTGGTAAATTGCCTTAGACCACTTATCATTTGAGGGGTGCGTATCCCAAGACAAATGTGTAATCAATAAAATCACCAAAACCACTCAACTGAAATTGAATAGAAGGCCTTTGGGGCGCTTGAGGGTCTGGCTGTGAGGCCTCCGGAGGATAGATGACTGCCCTCAAACCCAGTTAACAATTGACACTACAAGCAACATGTCACTGGACCACATGCCAATCATTGACCATTAGAGCAAATTGTTCTTTTTGCTGTGGCTCCCTCTAGCGGACAAACAACTGTGATCTGCGGAGGATTTGAGTGGCAGTCCCCAATTTTTTTGTTGCAACACAGCACAAGTAAATATAATGCAAAGTTGTATTGAGTAAAAAAAACCACTACTTGTAGCATTCACAACCTCCATAAGCAAGTACTTTGTGGATTTTAAAGAATCAACTCATCCAAAGTTTGTTGGCGCAACAGTTTGGTTTGGCTGAAAAAAAGAACAATGCAGCGGATGAGAGTTAGATTGAGATGCAAAGAGAATGAGGAGAGACAGAGAGAAAGACGGAGAGAGATACACGAGGAGGACAGGGGAGAAATAGACAGGGAGAGAACAGAGTCCTGCGCAAAGTGGTGCGTAAAAGCCGTACATACCTAAACTCTTTCCAACAGCTTCAAAACTTCGTGGGCAGTTGATGTTGTGCTGATTATCTCATCTCAACAGTAAAGCCAGTACAGGAAGAAAAGGAGACCCGAGATGAGAAAAATGGGAAATAAAGCCTCGGATGCGCGTTGACTTCACGCAGAAGACCCGTGCGCTCGATCTCCTGTCCCGGTCCAGCCCCAGCAGCAGATCTCTGATCCCTCCTCCTGTACGCGCACAGCGTACCCCCAGTGCCCGCCACTGTCCGCTTGGAGGCGCCGTGGCTCCGCCGGAACCCGTGTGTGTACGCGTGCGCGTGTACAGATGTGCATTGTACCAGTATTGCTGCAATGCACCAGTAGAAGCAGATGCCAAAGCACAGCTGGTTTTGAACCCCCCCCCCCTCGGAGGCGCCTAGAACCCCACCAATAGATTTGAATGCCTGTTTAGCATCAGGACATGACAATTGTATGGATGTGGCCTCCAGCAGAACAACATGGCAGCACCCCTGGGGGCCTCACTGATCTTACATGTCCCTGGGATAGAATATTTGGGAGGTTTTACAGTTATTCTCCTACAATGTGTAAGTCAGGATGAAATAGAACAGCATGAAAAGCAGACTTATTCCCGCCTCCATACTAATACTCATAAACACACACACACACTCACAAATGGCCCTTGCTTGGTCTGGTGGTCTGGTTGCAATTAGTAGGCAGAGTTAGAGGAGTTTATACTCGGCATAAACATGGAGGCTGTCCATGAATCTGCTCACCATGTTTATATGCATGTAGGTGCCTCTGCCGCCCGTTTGCCTATTTGTATGTGTCAAAGTCTTCTGCAACACGGTGGGAGGTCTCTCTTCCAGAGGATTTACCAGTACACATCTGCATACATATTTACAGTGTAAAGCATTTTCTTAATTTAACATTATTGGTGGATGTGCCCCGGTCGCAGCAGCTGCAGCAACGTGAGCATATCAGAGAGTCCGATTTGCTGGGATTCTCTAATGTGGGCCTGCAGATCTCCCAGTGCATTAACCAGTAACACTGCCACTAATGTGTTAACCAGCCCAGTACACAGGAGGCCATGTCAGCAAACAGGGGTTTCATCCAAGTCTACATCCGTTACATGATAGGATCAGATTGGAGAAGGAGATGAAGGGGTCATTTTGGTTAGATCAGTATGGAAGATGCGAAGATGTGAATGACCAGAAATGGGCCAGAGATCAATTTGCGAGTTATATCTCCAAGAAAATCACCTTTAAGAATTAAGGAGAAGATTTCTCACTAAAATTAAGAACCTAAATCTGATCTATACAGTCATCACAGATTGTTTCATCACTTAATATGACACAACAGTGGGTTACGTTGTGGATGGAGATGAGGCAGTAGTCAGCATTTTACTAAGGGAACCAATTAGGAGGGGTGGGGGGTGAGAAAGAAAAGAAGAGGAGGAGGCCAGCTGCTGACCAGAGTTATTACGTGAAGCTCTTCTCTTTGTCTTGGCCAGGGAAAAGTTTTTCCTTAAAAAGAGAAGAAGAGAGGAGAGGAGCGAAATGCAACCTCCCCCCTCTTTCTGTGTGTGTGTACGTGATGGAGAGATGTGGAGGTGGAGGGAGTCAAGCAGGGGGAGTTCTGGTCTCTCTTAAAACTGTGACTCATAGAATCGGAATTACATCCCTCCCCAATAAGAGTAAACCAGTCTCTGCCTCTCTTTCTCTCTCTCTCTTTCTCACACACATTTTCTCTAACTTTATTTTTCTTTCTTTACTTCTTTCACATGGACTCAAAGACTTTTTCAGTCTGGGGGGATTTCTGCATAATCAGTTCCAGAATCACAAACAACCTAATATTGCTGCAACTTTTCTCCCAGTATTCCACAGCAAACGCACAAATAATGACTCAGTCAATTTCACATGCAAACAAAGACACAGACTGTTTGACAATAAAAACACAAAAGCAAATCAAGGGAGTGCATCCAAATGTGAATGCACAAACGGTAGATACATGCACACATGCAAAGTAACGACTCCAAAGATTAATTACAAGGCTGTGCTAATCTCAGTGACTGTATGCAACAGATCTGCTTCTTCCAGATGTTATGACGTGCAGCCCTTGAATAAGAAATGTTATACCATAGAACAAACAGGATATTACAAGAAACGTATCATAAGCTCAAGTTAACTGCCCTTTTTTTGCTTCTTTTCTGAGTCTTTTTCCTGTCCTTTTCACCAGATGTGCTCTGTGTTCAGACAAGGCAGCTGGGAGTAGTTACCCCAGTGCATCGTGAACATGTGCACACACACACATGGGGTTATGCACACAAGTGTACACACAGGGTCAAGTCTATGTGTGAAAGATATGTCATTGCCAGTGAATTTCTGTGGAAACGCTCTTTTGAGGTTGGAGAATAAGATGGCAGTGAAAGTTCTGATTGCTGCGGCTCCAGAAAACAGGAGGAAGGAAGAAACACAGTCTGAAGCCAAGATAAATATCTGACCAAAAGTCCCCTCTACACACACACACACACGCACACACAAATCTCACCGATTTACAGACTCACTCCACACACCGACATGCTGTAAATCATCCACAGAAATATGCATCATCATGCAAGGGGGCACACCCATGCAAACAAACAAACACACACTCACACACAACCATCAAAAGCAACCCAGACAGAGGAAGAAATATATCTAACAAAAAAAGTGCTTGCAAGTGCACACACAAATGCATCGAGCCAAGATTAAAACTGACTCAAAATCTGGACCAAAGGGAAAAAATTAGGAAAATAATTCAAACCGAGACAGTTCTACTGAAATTCAGCTGCAGTCTGAGTGTGAAGCTTTAATATAAAACATCTGTCTGGAGCCACAGGAAGAGCGTTTAACTTCTGCTTGTCCATGAACTGTGTATATTGTTTTGTCCACTAGTAAAGCGTAAAATACAATAAAAAAGATGTTTGTAGTGATACACCATTGACCCCTGACAGAGGAATTCTTTCTTCTCTTGTCTGTCTTCATCAGCGGGATGAAATGTCAGAGACTGGTACAGGTCAAGTGTTGCTCAAGGGCACGTTAGCAGGCAGACTCTTGCAGTGGTTAGGACTTTGTGTTTTAAGGAGTCTGTCGACGTTCATTATAGACGATCAGTGTGCTACATCCATAGCTATCAGAGAATAAATGTTTGGTTACAGAACTGCTTTTGATTATAGCCAGGGTCTAACTCTTAACAATATTTAATTTAATTTATAGTTTATTAATGGTGCAAGTGAGTCCTGGTCAGGCTGGGGGACAAAATCAGATAAAAAGGTTTCATATAAAAGTATCTAGTTTTAAGATTGTATTGTTTGTTGGTAAAAATCGTACATTATATATTCTAAGAGATAAATATAAATTTTAATTTAAAGAGACATTAGAAGCCCTAAGTGCAGTTTGTTGTTTGCTTGCTTGGATTGGTGCCAGGACTTGTCTTTGGTGACTTTCATTCTGTATGTTTTTCGCAAAATTCTATCACATGAATGTTGCGCTCATGTTTGGGTATATTTCAACTCGAGTTTGCGTGGCCCGAGGGGAGTGACGCGGAAATCGCGTCTATTTGTTACTTTATATTGACTTTGAATATTATCCCATTAGGAGAAAAATTTGCTTCGCGTTTGGTGTGGACCCACCCTAAAAAGCGTAAATGAGAAGTAAATGTCGCGGGTCAGAGTTCAACAAACTCCAAGCACACACTGAGATTTGCCCGCAGCACAGGAAATGATTGATAGAGTAAATCAAAGGAAGTAAATCAATGTCAAAGGGAAATCATAATAATGTACACATGAAAATGTAACTTTATGATCTGGCTTATAGAGATTAGAGATTTTAACATGTTGATGTGTGTGATTCTGGACAAAAGTGAGCTGAGAGAGTTTGGTGTAGCAACCTTTATTGAAGGAGCTCTTACAACAGTATTGAGGCTGTGTATCCTCAGGAAAAAATATCTTCTTTAACATCATGGGCAGAGGTTGATACACTGAGACTAATAGCACCACAGATAATAAAAACAGTACAGCAGCTCTCGGCCACTGATGACAACAACATTTAAGGTCTAGAATTTACAGTTGAGGGGAATTAAATGGTGTGTGTGTGTGTGTTTGGGGGTGTGATGGTACCAGTCCCTTTAGATTTGTTTTCCAGTCTTTAACTATGACAGATGTTTTCCTACCTTACTGATTAAGTTCAAAGATGTGTGTGTGTGTGTGTGTGTGTGTGTGTTTGACAGAGGCTGATGTGTTGCACAGACACTAAAGAACAGGTTTCTGTCGTTCTGTCTTTTGAACCACTGACCCCTGCACAACTGTTTATAGAGCAATCGCCCACGGCTACACACGAAATCACCTCACCAAACACATATATGTAAGTCACACAAGCAGACACACCCTCGGACAGACTCACACATGTTGTATCCAGCTGTTGTGTCCTAATCACTACCTGGTTGAAGTGCCGATGGTTTTTTGTTTGAAATATCCCGTTTCCCCAGTCGGTTTGGTCTCCTTTCAAGTGATGTTGGAGTCCTGTACATGTGACGACTTTTCTAACTCATCTTTCCATCAGCTTCATGAGGGAAAACTTAAAATATAGCTGACTTTTAGCTACAGCAGTCACTCACCAAAGAATTTGTTTCTTTATTTTTTACGTCCACAGCTCTGGTTGGTTCATTTGTGTTCTTAAGATGAGAAAATGTGACACTACTCATTCAGCACCACTTGAACGAGTGGTAAGAGCTATGAAAATAACCCCACATTAAACCCTAAACACAATCCTTCAAATGGCAGGAGTTCCAGTCCTGGAGAGACCTCAGTGTGCCATTTTCAACTCACACTTGAAGTAAGTCACAGCTCATAGTGATACAGGGATGAAGAATACCTGAGTAGAAATCAGCCCAATGCTAGCGAAAGCTAGAAATAATTTTAGATGTTACCATTTCTGATGTCTCCCCAGGACTAAAGTAATCCTTTTTGGGACATTTTCACCCTGGTCTTTACCTTCCAGGAGTTCTCTTCAATTGTTTGTTGTCACGTCAACCTCTAAAACTCTAAAATGGTAGCATCACTTGGGTTATTGGCAAATTATTTAAACATATAAAGTGGAATTGGTACACAGCCTGAGATGGTTTTCATTGGAGGCTCAACTCAGGGTCAAAAAGTCCCATGGACATTTCATGAAGACGTTTCCATTTGCATGCCACACAATCATTTGTTGTTTGTGACCTCTTTTTTAGTACTTGAACACAGTGTATGGTAAATGAGTGAGACTGATTATTCTTAATGGGACTACAAATCTAAAGCATGTTGGTCCTGTTGTTTGGGGCCCTGCATTTAGGGCATGGACACCCTGCGGGAGACGGTTTGGGCGAAGACACCACGGAGCAGAGAGGGGTAATCTGCGACACGGATCATGTGGCGCTGGGCGTAGCTGATGTCGTCCAGCCGCCCCCTGCTCGCTAGTGTGCGCAAGTTGACTTCATTGACCTGGCTGCCAACAGCAATAACAAAGAGCTCCACCCCTGCGTCTGCCACCTCGCGGACACGCTTCTCCAGCACAGGCTCGGTGACGGCCTGAGACCTGCCATCAGAGAACAGCAACAGCTTCTTTATGCCTCCCGATGCATCCCCACGGCCACGTAAACTGCTAACAGCAAATTCCATGGCCTGTAAGACATCGGTGCCATCATTTTGGTAGGTGGCCTCTTCAACTTGATGAGACAGCAGGGTCAAATTGGTGGTCAGCGGCTGCTCCATGCGAGCACTTCGGCTATACTGGGCCACACCCACTCTGACAGTAGCACCGGGGCTCCTCTTTGCGGTCAAGAAACGATCGGCCAGGCGGCGGACAAAGGTCTTACTTGTCTCAAAGTTCTTCTGGCCCACACTAGCTGAGCTGTCCATCATCACCAAAATATCAGCACCTTGATTGAAAGTGACTGCAATATACACACAAACAGACAATGATTTATTAGTTTTTACAGGTAAGTCACAGACAAGAGAGTTAACAATGGGCAACACAGCGAAATAGCATTAATAAAGTTTCAATACACTCGTAAAAGAAAAACAGACTTACTGGGACATTTGTAGTCTGGGCATCTCTTATCTGGATGAGGGAACAACAGACATTTAGTCAGTTTATTTGGAGCTGCTACATACTATTTGGTTGATGCAAATTTCCCGAGGATGTACATTTGTGTGCAGGTATGTGTGTGTGTGTGTTAACCTTGACAGATTCTGGATGTAAGGTTCTGCAGGAAAGTGTCATCTAGGAGCTCAGCAAAGTTATCCAGGACGAAGGAGAAGCCTGGTTTGGGGTCACTCTTACACACCACATCGTCGAGCTGCTCCTGGTTGGGCTGACGACCTGAGTAGTCCTTCACTCCTAAACCACCCACCTAGAGATAAGGAAGGAGGTTCTTAGGCCAATTCATGGGTGAAGGATGTGGAACCGTTATTTGTAGTGTCTATCGAATTACTCACCCGGATGTTTTTACCACAGAGTACATTAAGGGGAACCTTGTCCCTGATAATATCGGAGCGTCCATCAGTGAGGACCAGAACAACTCGGTTCTCTTGCCTCATCAGTTTGATTGTGTTGTCCAGGGCATAATCGAGGGCCTCACCTGTGTATGTGGCCTCGGCCAGCCAATTCAAGCCTCTCACCTTCCTGTGCACAGACAGAGAGACATTGGATTTCACCAAAATCCATTTGTTGATATTGAAAACAAGCACTCCAACAAACACAATAAGCTTGTTTATTGCCTTATCTAGAACGAAAGAGAAAGTTATTGGGGACAGAAATCAACCTTGGATGTAGTGCTAAGCTAAGATAATTGGGTTAAGTTGTGACGTGTGAGATCTGTTCCTGGGTCCAAGCTCTGGTATCAAGATGTCGCTGAGTCGTTTCCTGTAATTGTGTAATTTAGTTTTAGATGGCGGGGGAAGATTTAATCTGAAGCAGAACCAAGTTTAGTCTTTTGTTATTTTTACTTGAGTAAACTAGACAGAACTGTGCTGAAACTAATTTCCGTCCCTTTTTAAGCTAATTGGCTTAAACCTTCTAAGGCAGGTGATATTGTGATTATTCTTATCACTTTCATTAAGACACTAAACAAGAGACAATACTGTTGGAATTGTGAATTTCTAACTAACAATTGCACTGCTTGTCCTCGAGGATTATGAGCATCATGTAATTCTAAAAATACTGTCTTTGGAATTTGGAGAGGATGTAACTTGAAGTGAAACATTAAAACCAAACCTGCGGCTATACTGACTCATAATGAATCACCATTATGCTACACATTCAAAGAGCAAGCCACAGAAAAAGCATTGAGGCAGGCAGGATTGTGACTGCATGTAAGTGAACTCACCGTTTAAATTCGGTGAGATTGAGAGTGCTGTCCAGCTGGACAACTTCTTGAGCTTGTGCTCCACTGTACTGGACTACGCTCACCCTGGACTCATTGCCTGTAAACTGGAAAGAAAAGCAGTGCATGGTGACCGTGTGTTTTGGTCTGTGCATTATGTGTCCAAAAACCACGTGTTTTCTTCTGTCAACATTTCTACGTCCCCACCCATCCTGACTAATTATATCCAAACTGGAAGAAGAGAGTCACTGGAGAGACATAAAAGCAAGTTCCAAAACCAGAGTTAATTTCTCTCATTCACACTTTCTATTTTGAGGTCTGTTCTCAAGGAGAGAAGTTCATCTCAGAAAACTAGATTTCGCAACATCATTGGTATCATGAGTAAATGACATGGTGCACAAAGGTCAAACATGGGTTATCCTGCAGATGTCAGGCAAAGATATGGGATGAAAATGAAATATAGTGTAGTCACATGTCAAGAGACGGAATAAATTCAGGGAAGGAATTTACTGTACCTTGACTTGCTGGTCTTTCACCAGTCTGTCTATGACTGTGATGATGAAGTCTTTGGCAAGACCAAAGTTTGTGAGACCGATACTCTCTGAGCTGTCCACAATGAATGCCAGGTCCAGAGGTGCACACTTACACTCTAAAATGAGAGAAATAAACAAATAAAATCATAAAGGATTGGATTAGCTATGGAGTAGAGTCAATAATTGTGATATTGACTGTGTTTTATTTATTAGTGAGTCCAAACTTACCACAGCAAGCTGCCAAGTGATTAGGAGAGTATGACAAAAAAAACAAATCAAAGTTAATTGACTGTGCAAAAAAAAAAAAAGACATAACACAAAGTAACCTGCGTAATCCTCACATTCTCCTGGTTTCAATTACATGTTTGGCTAATCAACATCGGGTGGAAGAGGGCAAAGCATTTAATGAAGACGACATGTGGCTTCCTGTATGTTTAAGTGTGAGTGTCTAACTTACAGCAGAGCTTCATGATGATATCCAGAATTTCACATTCCTGCAGAGAGAGGTAGAATTCATTGGACTATTGCAAAGCTCTGCTAAATCACATTACATAACTTTCAAACACAACACATAGCTTAAGGTGATGTTTTACTTTGACGTCTGGTTGACGAGTGGCTATGGGCTTCACTTTCAGGAAATTGGATTTGACTGAACATACAGTTTCAGTTTCAGGTTCAAAACTAGTGCAACCTAAAGGGAGAATTAATTCTGCGATGCTTTGCCTGGTTAGGGTCTGTGGCTCAAATGAGGGCAGGGGCTCAGATTAAACAGACTGATTGAATTCATTTATACTCACATCAGTTCCTGGTGGTCCAGGAGGCCCAGAAGGTCCCTGAATGGAGAGAGAAAATGAAGATGAGCAAAGGGAGACTGATTCATCCCCCTGATAGATGTGCATGTTTATCTGTTTGAGGAAATACAGGCCAAACAAAAGTTCTTGTCTTGACTTCAGGGTGACAGACTCCTGGAGGAGTCTTTTTTATTTTCACTGGAGAGAAATGGTGACTCTTTGGAAAACTTTTCCTCTTTTGAGTGCAAACCGGAATCCCTAAGTCACAAAACCCACATCCACACCCACACATTTTGAGTTAGCCGCTATCTTTCTGCAACAACATGTGGATCTTCCAAAAGTTCGTTGCCACAGCATTTAGTTGTTTTTTTTTTGCTCGGCTGCAGGAAAACCATCTGTTTTGGTTTAACAGACATTAAACTCAGTTTAAGAGCATTCTTCTCTGTGACAAAGACGCCAGTGTAGCTTGCATAAGAGAAAGGGAGAGAAGGAAATGAAAGAAAGAGAGGGAGAGAAAGAAAAGAAAGAAAGAGAGGGACAGCCGTTAATTGTAGACTGAGAATCATATGATGCAAAGTTTTCATAAAAAATATGCAGCAGAGGAAAGGGAGGAGAAGGCGGGGGGCAGAGGAGGAGGAGAAAGAAAGTAAGGACGTTGACTTCCAGCCTTGGAGAACAAGCCTTCATACACTGTGTTATATTTAGATCCTCTCTTTGTTCATTTTTTCACACGATCCGATACCACAAGCTTTACTTGCCAATTGGTGAATTATTCCATCTTTCCTTCTTCCGCTGAGCCAAACACAGTGATGCCATTTTGTTATGTCTTGGTATGTGGTTTTGTTATTATGATGAGTGGTGATCTGAGCTCCATTAGTGGATCTGGTACGGGATCTGAAAAAACCCCTACCCACAAGTAGCGCTCAAGGTTTGCTTGCCCAATCTGTGAAGGCCTTCACACAGTAGATGCATCTTTTTCCTGAAATTCATTTGCAAATAATTCCTATTTTTCAAACCTGTATCCACTCAATACAAGCTTTTAAATACGTGAGGGAATTTTGCTAAGTGATATTAGCAGCTTTTATCTTTTAAGACCAAGGCCAGAGGGTCAAAGGTTGCTGAGTGTAATAACTGACTGTTATTTTTGTCTTTAAACGGACATACTGCAGATGACTTGGAGCTAGGTTCCATCAACAGGTGACTCAACTCCGGTTGAAGAGAACAAATTAACCAAATACTCACAGTTCGAACTGTTCACAGTCAAACAGGATCTGCCTCAAATTAAACAGTCCAGAAAAAACTATGATCTTGGTTCCAGCTGTTGCAGCAGTTCTTTAATCTGTCTCAGGAACATCTCTGAACCAACTTATGAATCTCACCATGCTCTCCTCTCTTTTCTGTCTCTATTGTGTAACCAGTTATTTCACCTTTTTTTTCTTTTTAGTTAGTAAAAGGAGCACAAGATCATCACAGCTTCATGTAGTTTCCATCGTTCTTTTCCAGAAGCGCGATTCTTTTTCTATCCTCGTGATTTATTTGCTAAATCTTGTCGCACTTTGAAATTCTGCTCCAAGTTATTCACTATTTCCTGCTGTTTATTAGCATTGATGCACAAAGGTCTTTAAAGTATAAGTTTGGTGATTTTCCTTTTACTCCTTAAGAAAAAAAAGACCAAAGTCGACAATTAATTGATTTGCAGCCAAATCCTAAAATAGACCTCTGTGTTCAAAATCTATTAAAACCACATTAGTGAGCCACAACAATGTAGTAAGTGACATGTTCCCATAAACAAAGGGACTTTGTGGTTTATTCTATTTCATGTCCTGGTGCCGGGACGGGCAGGGTTTTCACTACATTCTTTACATACATTATGTGAGCTGCAGAACATTCAGTGTCTCAGTTGCTTACATCTGGAAACAAGCCCTTAACACACACACACGCACGCACACACACACTTTTTTCTTCTTACCGGGTTGCCCTCAGGTCCTCTGTGACCTTTGGCCCCTTTGGGTCCTGGAAGCCCTGGTTTGTTGTTCTGTGAAAAGAGAAAATTACACGAAGATTAAGAGAGGGGCCCACACCTGCATACGATTCTTTTTTCTTAAATAAATACGTACACTTTTTGAAACTACAGGAGAAACAATTGTTTTAGATTTACATACAACAGAAGTACAGTGCAAATATCAGTCAAATCCAAGGGTCAGCTTTTCACTGCAATTACACAGCATTTACAAGGCAACTTACAGGACCTGTTCAGTTGTTTGAAATAAATAGGTCAGTACTTAAAAGTGATACAGATATATATCATATATATATATTCATAGATTAGAAGATTTTCCTATATTTGGTCATCATAGCTTATTTCATAGAGGTAGAGCAAGTAAATTTTTACTTTACTTAATTTTAAAGAACAAACATTTATATAAAGACTGGGAAGTCAAATAAGGTTGTACCCAAAGTCACTAAGCTGCAATAACAACATGGGAGGAATATGAAGCCACTTAAGTTCAATCGTAGTTGGTGTTGTGTATCTAAATATTTTCTTTTGCATTGATGCTGCAGTGTTTTGGACAAAATTTAAAGTTCAGCAATTATGGAATTTGGAATACTAGATAACAAATCATCGTGGAAGTCTATGGAGGAAGTTACCAAATAACATCTCCAGTTAGAAACTAATGGTCCTACTATGGAGCCTTGATGTAGTCCCATTGAAAAGAATGTGAAATTATGAATTACACAGAAGCATGAAGCAAGTAATGGTAATCAGGCTTTCAAATGAGTCAAAGGTGAGCTTGACTTGAGGAGAATAAGAATTGAAGAATAAAGAATAGTTGAAAAATGAATATTAATTTAGTTATTATTCCAATTACTTTGCAGATTAACAGGGACCTGTTTGGGCTTTTTTCCAGCACATCCAAAAAAAAATCCTCTCTTCAACACTATGGAAATGTTTTTCTTACTTATTTATTTGTGTTTTTACTCGATATCTTACTGTATTTTGACCCCACTGAACCCATATACAGCCATATATTACAGACATTATTTGAGAGGGGGTATTGCCAACATGTAAAGCCATTCAGTGAAAGCCTCTAAACCCATTTCAAAACTTTATAGTTACCAGATCTGACTCTTTTCTCTCCAGCTATCTGCCACATCAGTGCAGCTGCAGGAACTGAGAGCAGCTAAAGCCCCTGCAGCTGCTTCTCTGTGACCTGCTGCTGATCACTGTGAGATTATGGCTCAGACGCCACAAGTATGGAAAATGAAGCGCTTAACTCTGTAAATCAATTTAGGAGAATTAGCTCATCTTTAAGGTCCTTGTTCCCACAGATACTGTTACACACTTTTAACTATTGTGGGCAGTTTGGTTTGAGGAGGACTGTCAGAAGCTTCTGAGTATTTCACATTGATGCAAAGGGACACTTTCAGGACTTATTTTTTGAATTTGAATTTATTCTTTTCAAATCAAAATTTAAGAAAAGTAGAAATGTCAGAGAGCCCTTGCTAGTGTTAGAACAGACACATCATTTTCTCATCTAGTGCCCATGTTGTTTAAATAGCAAAGGCACTGGGTGAGTTGGTCATAATTGTTGGCAAATTTCTATCTGAAGGTCTGAAGTCAGTGACTCTAGAATGCACGATTATTTTAAGGGTGTATTAACTAGATACTAATATGAGCCTACATAGTTGGGGTGTGCAATCTGGATGTTAAACTCCACTGTGCACACAAAGTGTTTCTTCTGCAGAGAAGCATTCTCTCTTACTATTTGTCATTAATAATAACAGCAATCTACCATGACTTTTAAAGGGAATGGGTGTTGGCACTCAGATTGGTTTATTGCATGTTACGCCTTAAAAAAAAACCCATGATTGATTAAGAGACCATAAGTACAATGTTTGTGAGCCATGCACCTGGTGCAATGAGCTTTTTTTCCACTGTTAAACTCACAAAGGTGGATTTGGACGCAAATGCATTTTCTCCATGCACTTAACACCATGTGCTGAATTCATTTAAATGGAGCCCAATGTTTTCAAATGCTAATTTAATGCCAATTATTTGACCAACTTTAACCTAAAATCTCTGGTCCAAATTATTCTGATTTGTTGTCTCATAAAAACTATTTTATTTCACCAGTCCAACATGTCAGACAGAATAAGATGCAGTGAGGTCACAAATCCTCACTATAAATCTTTCTCTGATGTTTCAGCTCGAAGCCGACTCAAATGAGCAGATCTGCACTTCTATTACTCATGTGGAAGATAGGATAGAGTCGGAGAGAGAGAGAAGGTAATGTCAGACACATGCATGCACACACATATACACACAGACATACACACTCACACAGTTACAAACACACGTTTCCAATTAGTGCACACTCAACTTCAAACACTATGATGTAAAGAACATGGGTCATATCATCCACACACACATAGGATTCGCACATGTGATGCCCTTGATGTCACAGCGTCTTATTTTACATTGCAGCCAAAGGCCAGTGTTGAACCTTGACAACTGTGTATATTATCATTCTTAAGAATGTTTTTAACAAGTCAAACAACTTTATCTCCTCTGACACACAAATGTGTCCTCCCTGCCCCTCTGGCCAGAGAGAGACAGGTCAAGTGTCAACATACATGTCTGTACAGTGTGAAAATATTCAAACAATTTAAATGAGACATCCAGTTGTGGCCAGTGACATTAGATTCTCTGAAAACGTTGTTAACCCATCTGATGTCTCATGAACTCAAGTCAAACTGATTCCACTGAACTGTCCAAAATAACGGCTGAGAGTGAAAACTGTGGAAACAAACAAGTGATTGTCAAGAGACAAATGAGGAATGTAATGGATTCACTTTTTCCATAGAGATAAATTAAATATGGCATTCTGTATTTTTGTTAAAGGCTTTGTAATGGACAATAAAACAGCAGATCGAGGAAAGATTAACACTGATATCATGTTTAACGCAGATGTTAAGAACAATTTTGGTCTATAGCTTAGCATGGCACAAAAACTGGATACAACCTGACACAAGTAGACTGGCTCTGTCTAAGGTCTATAAAATTTAATCAATGCAATATTTGAAATATGGAAGTGAAGAATTGCAGTTTTATGGAGTTGGCCAATGTTACGAACTTAAAGACGTTACTGCGGCTGCCAGCCAGGAGAATAGTCTAGCACCTACAGTTACTCACGTAAAACTGCTGCGAGTCATTAATACTCTTTTTCCATTCATTAATGAGACATAAATTTAATATGTGAGCTTTAAAGGTGTTGGTAGGTTGAGTATAATACCTGAAGGTAGAGGAAGCAAGTTCTCCAACCTACTTATTTTAAGTTTTCTACTAAGCTAACTGGGTGCTGGCTGTAGCCTAAAGTAGTATCAACCTTTTTATTTAACTCTTGGCATTAAAGATTTTCACCATTTCACCATTAGTAATGCATATGTCTAGAAAATGCGAAAGTGGAATTCATTAGGGGACCATATGGTTTATTTTAAGTTGTTGTCCATTTTCTTTACATTCCTGCCAAACCACTTCCCAGATACTAACCCAAGTTTGCAGACTGATTAATTCTTGGTGTTGATTATTTATATTTCAGTAAAATAACCAGTCTTTGAAAAAGTCACAAACAAGTGGCTCTTACAAGTTTAAAATCGAGAAGATTTTTTTAGGCTTCCAAAACAGTTTCTTCTAAAATGATGCAACACATTTTCAGTATGGGGATATGGCAGCAGCACATCTGTAGAATCAGCTCAGGTTCAGGTTTCAGTCATGAAACACAAATAATTTTTACGTAAACACGACCAAGTTGAACCGGGGGTTAAAGTATTAAAGTTGGCGTGCTGCACGGACACATTACTGTCGCCACACACACACACACACACACACACACACACACATTCACTCATGCATACATTAGAAGAGTAATGCAGTCCCCTCATCATACTCATTTCCTGGTATCCTTGACAACGACATATACACAGCTGCATCACATCACGGCCCTCTTCCCAAGTAACACACACACACACACACACACAAACACACACTCAAGAAAGCATGTCCAGCTGCAGAACAGAAGGAGAGTGTGAGAGCATGGATTAAAAAAAAAAGTGCAGTAAAGCATGTGAGGGTCTAACACAGAAAAACAAAATGAAAGACAGAAATCAAAAGACGAAACATATGATTATATTGTACTTCAAGTTAAAAAAAGGAAATATGTAAATGTGATAATAAAACGAGACACGTGATTCACATCCTGTCTGCTCTGTCTGCCAAGAAGGGATTGAGGAAAAGATAAAATGAGATCAAGAGCGAGGAGCAACTCAAAATGGAGACTCACATCGGGGCCTGGGTCTCCGGGCTCTCCGTCATCTCCTTTGGGTCCAGGCGTTCCTTTGCCACCCTGAAGGCCACACAGCAAATGTTAGAGGTCATGAGTGAACATGAGATTGATTTTTATTGAACTTAAAGCAAGAAAACGTATATTTAGTCTGGATGTTACACTTATGTAACAGTACTAAATGGACCGAGACACAGTATCTGATCTCAAACTCTAAAACAGTAACAGCCTTATTTCTAAGTTTCAGGAAATTTAAAGATGACCTACCGGCTCACCAGCGTCTCCGCGAGGCCCAGGATAACCCTAAAAGAGACATAAATATTCAACATGTAAAATCATAAATGTATCATACATGACTTACAGACCATTAACTACTATCACTACACACCTGGAAACCAGGACAACCTGCAGTTCCATTTCCTGGGACACCATCTTCTCCCTGAAACAAAGAAAGAGAGACACTTACAGATCCATTCGCACAGAGACACATATGCAAACCTCATGACAGGGCTTATGATGGATGACACACATATGTCCCCCTCTCTATCTCCCACACTCACCCTCCCCCCCATCTGGCCTCTGTCTCCCGGGGCTCCTTTGATTCCTCTCGGTCCTTTGGGTCCCTGGAAGACAAAAGGAAGGATTGGATTAGAAACATATGAAATGTTATAAGACATGTGTTGTCAAGGCAGCATGTGTGCAAGCGTGTGTGTGTTTGTGTGTGTGTGCGTATGGGGGGGGAATAAAAACTTTAAACTGAATTCTACATGTTGCAAACTTACTTCGAACAATAATCCATTGCGTAACTATGTCGTTACAGGTCCTGGCTGATTATCCAGATTATGTGAGGGTGAGTGTCCATCACTTTAAATATATTGTTATAATGAATGCTTTTTTTTTTATTATTCACAGATAATGATGATAATGGGATTTTGATTGTGACTCATGTAGTTTACGTTTATATGCACAATGGATCTAAATCCGTGGGGTACAGAGTCAAGTTGCTTTAGGCTTTACCGTTTCCAACCCCTTAAACGCCATAGTTTTATACATAACCATGACAGAAAAAGCACCAATCACAACTTAAAACAAATGTGTCAGTGTTTCCCCTACATTCATTTTGCAGCATTATTGCCACTGCTGCTACATAATGAATCAGGTGTCTTTATACCGTGCTGTGTTAGTCTGCTGCATGCTCACCCCCCACTGACCTGCACTCACCTTACACCTTAATAATAAACACCATCACTAATCAGAAGTTATATGGACACGTACAGTATTGAAGTTTACTTTACGTTTGTTTGATTTGCTCAAAAGCTTATAAGACACGTTTTTTTAACCACTGACCATCATTTTGCGTGCACTCAGTTCACCTGCCACAAACAACATGAGAAGAGACGTGACATGATCTGCACTGCCAGGACATCAGGGTTAAAGTGACTGGAACGATCTGGATTCATGATCCAACATCATCATATATATCAATAACAAAATAAATGTGATGGGACGGACAGACATAATCCTACAGACAGGAGAAAAGTTCTTCCCACAGATAATGATGCAGTGTTTCAACTTCATTATTTAGAAGAAGCGACGCCCCATTATCTAGGAACATAAATATGAATTGAGCTGGTTTTAATAAAGATAAGTTCAACGTGTGAGTGATAAGAAAACATCACAGGAGCAGGGTCACTTGATGACCGGCACTGAGTAAAAATCCTGGGGGAAACACTGTGTATTCAGTATTTTATGAGTTCTAACACTCAAATGTCTTGATTTGAAACATTATGTCCCTCTCTCTAAAATAGAATAAACATTATTATTAATGATATAACTAATACATTTAGGAGTTAATAAGAAAATGGTCTTTTGTATAGTGGTCTTATTTATGAAGAGTTTAATAATCCAACACTGAACTGCTTCATCAGGGCTTTTTGATTAACCGTGACCAGACAAGCCACCAATCATCAAATTCTAATTTTAATATTGCTAAATAATGGTTGGTGCATTGAGGCACTTTAAGTCAGATCACATCATTTTTTTTCATGTTTCATCTCCAGCAACTTGAAACACATGACCAAGAGTCAGACTAAAAACAGAAATACAAAAACCTGTCATGTAAATTAACTAAAATCTTTTCTAAATTTGTCAGATAATCTGTGGATTTTCAGAAATTATCAATAATCTGCATGTGTGTGCTGTTGGACTCACCTCAGGTCCAGGGGGGCCTTCATCTCCTCTGTAGCCAGGAGATCCAGCCCTGCCAGGATCACCCTGCAAAACAGTCATGACGTCAATTCAAGTTTCTTTATTGACTGAAAATGTGGTGGCTAAAATGTGATATTCTGAAGTGATTGATAACGTATTAAAGTATTATAGCAATCTTCCAGCTAAAGTTGTTGAATGTTGATGAAGTAAAAAGAAATTCAAAATAAGATCATAGAATGTCAGTGTATAACAGTGTTCTCAAAGTACTGCAACTAGTACTATGCTTAAGCTACTTATCAGCGGCTGCCAGGAGTTTTTCATCTCACACAGTTTGTAAAAGATGAAAGTGGAAACATGAGGTTTAACTGTGAGATGTGGAAGTAATCTCAGGAAAAAAGTAATTAAACATCCAAATGTGTCTGATCTACACAATATATCTTGTGAATTTGATGTATGATCTGAAGGGGGAAAAAAACAACAAAATGCTGTTTTTTTAAAATATAGAATTGCTGCCAAATCCTGACAACAGCTGGACCCAGCTGCTTCATGCAGCTCAGTCAGACAGTTACTCTTTGCACACTGCTGAAAAGGATCAAATCTCATGAATTTATTGATGGCTAAGGACAAAGTAAAGTTTGGGAGTTCTTGTGAGAACTGTTTTTCTGTTTTGTCTGAGGGTTAATGTTTCTTGTTTCCTGTTTTTGGGCACACCCAGGCTAAATCACATCGGGACCTGTCTATGTCGTGGATGTACCGAGCTGTGCCTGTGTAACACAGGAAAAAATAACGTTTGCAATCATTTCAAAGAGACTTTGAAAAATGACTACAAAATTGCAATTAAGTGTAATAATTCAATGGCAGTAAAAGTATAATGACAGCAAATGATGTGCAGTTTATAAGTGCATGTGAGGATACAGTTTTTCCTGAGTGTATGAGGTCGGCCTAACAAGTCACTTATTCCATGTTTTCTGTACTATTCAGTTCTGATGAGGAACGGAGGCCCAGTCGAAAGCACAAAAGAGCCATTGAAACCACTGACATCACGGAGGTTACCACAACTAACGCTTGTAACGTATTATTATTATTACAGCGCCCGGAGCCTTATTAAGAAAAAACGTACTGAGGCTTTGGCTGCAGCGAATGGAGAGAATAACTGAGTCAGAGGGGAAAGAGTGAGTGTCGATGTTCCCAGGAAAAGAAAAAAAAAATGAGAATGAGAGAGGAGAGGGGAGCTGGAGGATTTGGGAGTGGGCAGCATTCTGGGGCATGGGCCAGGATCATGTCTGCTCACTGTGCTACCCCTCAACATGAATTATGGATGCAGCGTGCTCACATGTGCACGCACACAAGAAAGCATGTGCACGTTCCCTCTTTGACTGGAAAAAAGGGATGCTGCCAGAGAGAAAAGTGGGTGGTTCATTTTTATGGCTGTGCCGCCTCTTGAAACTCAGGCTGGTGACCAAACACAGCCTGTAGCTCCTGTTTGTACCTATTTTAATTTCTGTGAATTATATTCAAATGTGTGTGTGTATGTCTTACGGGGTCTCCGTTGGGGCCAGTTGAGCCCTCCCTCCCCTGCTCTCCACGGGGTCCTGGCTCCCCCTGGAAAGAAGAACACCAAAGGTTTAAGGCAACATAAAGCCCAACAACAGACAGAGCAGCACAGACAAAGCTGAGTAAGAACAGAGACTAAGAACAATCGTATGGGTTCTATTAAGGACAGTGTGGTTGCAGTCTACTCAATACGAGTGCCAAACTGCATTTCCCATGAATTTCTAAGGAAGGGATACAGAAATTAGAAAGACCACATCCCTCCTTATGATCATCCGTATCATCACTCACCACTTCTCCCCTCCGCCCTCTGTTTCCACGGGAACCTTGCTCCCCCTTCTCTCCAACTTGTCCCTATAGACATTTTAAAGATGTTAATGTATACTTTGGCAGCTCTCAGAAACAAACAGACTAATTTAAAGTGAATGTTAATCAATATCACTTACTCTCTCGCCGCGAGGTCCATCCGGTCCAGGCGAGCCCTGAAACACACATTGCAAGATATTAGACAGGTCGTGAAAGGTCAAAAGGTTGATATTTATTTAAGGTTGTCAAGTAGAATTATTACTTACATCATCACCACGCTCTCCTTTGTCACCATCAGCTCCGCGAGGGCCCGGTTCACCCTGTCACAAAACAGATATACACGAGTCATATCTCTACTCTGCCGCCTGTCATTTTCCTCTATTTATCTTTGCACTGATTTACCCCAGGTCCCATAGGTCCATAGTTTCCAGGCCTTCCTGGTTCGCCGTCTTTTCCACCATCTCCCTAAAATAAACACAATATGTCTGATCACAGACCACAAAAGGCCAAATCTGACAGTCATTGACAGCACAAGGATTTCATATATCTTACTTTTGCTCCTTTCTGTCCGTAAGGACCGGGGTCTCCCTTTGGTCCTTGGTCTCCCTGCAGACCCTGCAAACATGAAACAGAGAGAGCTTCGGTGCATGATCGCAACCAGCTGAGTCCCAACACTCCATCTAAGAGGTTGCTGCGTATGTACTCTCATGTATGTGAGTGTGTTTGTTTACAGTGTGACTATATGGCTTCATTTAAACAACCTGACAGCAGAGTATGTAAACGCAATGGTGATTAAAGAGCCAGTGGCCTCAGTCTGTCTGCTTCACCGACAGCATCGTTCGTAAACACGGAACTTTGGCTAATGGCTAATGCGTAAACAATGAAGCTGAGCCCTGGGCAGATACAGAAGTGACTCGTCTGAGTGTGTTAATGTGTTCAAGAGAGAAATGAGGACACAAAAATAGAAATGTAGAGTGTGTGTTTGTTTCCTAACATCTACAGCTCTGATTGAATGTCCTTAAACCTGATGTCAATGTGTGTAAACATCTAATGACTGGTTTCCATCTGGTTGTGAATCATACTGTTGACACTGTGTGAAGGTGTGAGCATCACTCCTGTCGCGGCCAAAATGCAAGGCCATAGAAGTGGGATTATCCTCAGTTTGAGATGCACGACTCACGTCTGATCCGGGAGATCCTTTACAGCCGGCGAGACCAGGGAAACCAGCTTCACCCTGAAGGCGAAAATCACAGAAACATGGAAGATAATGAAACTCATTAACTTTATCAAAGAAAGAGCAAAAACTGCGCTGATCAGATGTTGGGGTTTGTAACTCACCTTGCGTCCATCAACTCCATCATTTCCGCTTTGACCTTTCTCTCCCTGAGAAGAAGAATCAAATACAGAAGTAGAATTAACAAGGATAAAGTGATGGAAGAAGAAATAAACCATTAAATTGAAAAAGAGTGTCCATCTGGGGATCCGCCGATCAAGAAGAGCTCACCTTGTAGCCTTTGTGTCCTCTATCACCCTGCACCAAACACAGACCACATTAGTGAGTCAGGAATCATACAGGACCCAACATTTACAGAATCCTTTTTTAAGAGTAAACATTTGTTTTTCATGTGTTCATACCTTCTCTCCTCTGGAACCGCGGTCTCCCTGGTAACAGAAATACACACATTATTACCATCATCAGAATAAACAGCATGGTGGTCACTGATAAGGTGAGTATAGAGTCAGTGATCAGTGACTTAAATCAATATGACTCCTAAATGTCTAGGTCATAAATATGTGAAGCAAAAGAAATTGTGGCACAGTGGAGGATTTAGACGTGGGCAGATGTCCAGAATGGCATCTTGCCAGGGATGGCGGCAAGTGCTTATATTCACCCTGATGGTTTTCTATTTATCTATGTAAGGTCACCTTTTGGGTCAATATAATTTTTGGAGTTGGCACCCTAGTTCCAGTTGTGACCTTGGGGAGATAGGGAGGGAGGGAGTGTGTGTAGGGTTCGCACCAAATCTTTCCACTGAAAACCTGAAGTAGGGGGGACCAGGGGAATCTAGCACATTTTGTTCAGTAGCCTTCTGAAGCAATACGTAAAATCACACGACAAAATCCTGCCATATAAACCACAATTCATTCATGATATTGTAAATATGTAGTTATATTGACACGTTGTATAATTTCTGGGTCATGGGGGTTGGGTAATCAGCAATATACTATAATTTGTGAAAATTCTTCATACTTAATATAAAGGGGGATTCGCCCAGATCGCCATACAAGCGAGAACCACCACTGTCTTTTTAAATACTTGGCAACTAACAAGAAAGCTATCAAAAATCTGTATGGTGAATTTGACCGTTATTTTAAGACTACAATATGAACCATATGAAACCCCCAAAAAGACTGTCTGTATTCATTTACATGTTACATCAAAGACACTGTTCCCCTGCAAGTTAAGTGTCAACCAGGTAAGCCCATGCATCTGGCTGGATAAATTCAGTGTGGTATCTCCATTAAAACCTACTGTGACATGAGGGAATGATCTTGTATCATCTGTTACCCACAGCTCCATGATAGGTGCAACTGCTAAGTCTCATTAGCACACAATGATTCATTCATGATTCCCTTCTTTCAGATATGTACCCAATGTTGTGTTAGTGGTAGAGCTGCACATTACCTTCATTCCATTGTAACCGACAGGACCAGGATCTCCGGTGTTACCCTGTAACACAGCAGAAGAGTTCATCATTATCATGAGGTGGTGCTCCGTGATAAATACGAGCAAATATGCTGATAGTTGTGTATTTCTTCGTGTTAGTGTTGTGTATGAGGATGATTGTGGAAATCACTTACATCAGCACCACTATCTCCTTTCTCTCCGGGCATTCCTGGTCTACCTGTCTCTCCCTTTTGAGAAGAAAAAGAAACATGAGTTCATTAGTTCAGTTTTCAATATTTACCCATGCAACTGAATGCACTGACTGTATTGAGTTTCTGACATAAAATGCATTCATATGATAATCACACCTTTGCGCCAGGCTCTCCGACTTGTCCTTTAGGCCCATCTGGAGCCTGCATACAAAACAGCATAAACACAAGCAATGACCCGATTGCTGACAAATTGAATCCAAGAATGGTTTGAACTGGCAGAGATGTAATCATACTTACATTGCAGTCAAAAGAGCAACACTAGAAAAGAAATATATAAAAGAAAGATTATTAACACAGAAAATTGTCTGCATCAAATCAAAGAAGGAAACATGATACGATCCTGTGTTTTCCGAGATGGTCTCAAAGAGAAAGACTTAAATAATAACAGTGGAGTCTGAACTTAACAGCATGAAGTACAATTGATTCAACATTTTTCATATTTAACTTCTAACTGTGAGTACTTCTAAGTGATTTCATTGGAGATTGTGATGCAGCAAAAATCCTGAACATCGCAGAACTCTTAATTTGTTTATGTGATAATTTCAGCTTCCTGTGCCTGTCCTGAGTGTCCCCTACCTGTTTGATGAGAATGAGGGAGTTTAGCTCCATCAGAAAAAGAAACATCACATTTCTAATGTTCACACAATTACTGTGGATTTTACTTTAAATTCACCAACAGACATGAAAATATTTCCTTAGAAACACATGTGAAAATCACATACCACATCCTTTGTCTGGTTTGTCTGAAAAGAAGGAAAGAAAACAAAGGTTGATTTAAAATTAAAGTAAATGAATTTCTGTCCACAAAAGAGAAGAGCAGAGACGATACATACGATCATATCGATGATGGTTCGGATGGCTTCCAGCTTGTTGGCTTTGGTGTTGTCTGCAGCGGTGAAGTTCTGTCTGTAGTTCTGGTCTGTGGCGATGATCGACAGCCTGGTCTCCTGGTAGAGCGCAAAACATACATACTACATCAGCTACTGGCCTGAAAGTAGCACCTACACCCACATATTTATATTTTCGGATTGTTAAAACTGATCTCTAAAAGCTTTATACTGTGACCGCTTTCTTTGTAGGATCTCACTTAGCTTCAGCTAATGTTTTCACTAGTCCTCTTGGTATTAGATATAACTGACTATCTACAGTTAGATTTCCATGTAGAACATCAAGAACAATGATTGTTTAGTTACTATCTGAGCATCACACAAAAAATTAGGGTCACCTCCGTTGTTTCCTCAGTTCCGACAGTGTCAACAATTCATAAATGTGTTGAAATATTGTATTATTTCCAATGACTGTAAAATGCTTGAATCTTTCAATTAAGCTTTATTTTGGAAGGTTAGGGTATTTAATTTTTTACCTCCCCTCACTTTACACTACACTGCACTTCACTTTACTCGATTTATTTAATGTCACAACACTTCACTTTACTTCATTTATTTATTGTCACATCACTACACTTCACTTCACTTTACATAACTACACTTCACTTTACTTCATTTATTTAATGTCACATCACTTTACTTCATTTATTTAATTTCTCATCACTTCACTTCATTTATTTAATGTCACATAACTTCACTTTACATAACTACACTTCACTTTAACCAATGTATCTAATTCCACCTCACTTTACCTCACACAACTGCAATTCACTGCAATTGACTTAAATTACTTCATTTAATATCACTTCACTTCACTCTTCACTCTCTAAACATTACATAACTACATTTCACTTTATCTAATGTCACCTTACTACACATGACTGTACTCCACTGTATGTGATTCACTTCTCTTCATTCTAAATTGCCTTAAGTCATTTTAAGTCCATTCACTTTGACCTCACACCATTTCACTACCAGAGTTTTGATTACAGGGTGGTAACGAGGCTCAGTTCAGTGTCAGCAGCACTAAATACAGACACACAGATTGTTAGATGCATTTCAAGGTTAAATTCATTTCTGTGGAAAAATCCATTTAAAAGTTTGCTGAAGCAAATATAAGGTGCCAGGGAGTTATTTGAAATGTCTTTGTGTTTCTTAAATTTGAAATTTATTTCTACACTGGACTTTGTACAAGATCTTTTTACATTCTAGTTAAATGTGTCGATCTTAAAAAGCTCCTAATAACTTCATATGTCAAGTTTGATTCATTTGATTGCAACCAGAAAAGGCCATCAACTGTCATTAAATTCTGATTCAAATTTTGTGAATTACTGATTGATGCATGAAAGTACGTGACATCAGAAAAACTACAACAGAAATCTTTCTGCAAAATAATCAAAACTGTTCTGACTTTGGCAGAAAACAGTGAAATACTCATATTCAGAAAGTGATTGAGAAAAAGGGTTTTCTTAACATTTTATATATATCGGGACTGTGCATGGAGTTGTATTGGTAAATCTAAAGTTAGGGGCCAAGGGCATGTTGGTTCTCACGAGGGTAGAAGCAAAGGTGAGTGTTTTGTACCTGCTGGTCAGGTGAGATGGCGACAGCGAACACTTTGACTCCATGTTGCTTGGCTTCATTAGCGGCCTCCTGCACACCTCCACACGGCTCTTTGTACCCAGTGATGGGATGACCATCAGTCACCACCACAATGTACTTGTTCTCTTGGTAGTGGGAGCCTCTGCATGCAGGTACATACACAAACACACACTTGACAATGACATCACTGCTTTCATCACTTAATCTGCCAAAATGTACCAGTTTGTGTTATTATTACCCAATTAGCAGCTCAGCAAGGCCCCTCTTGATGGCACAGTCGGTGTATGTGCCCTTGCCGATGTAGTTGATGCCGTTGACGGCAGTCTTCAAGGCCTCACGATCCGTGGCCATGTCACTCAGCTCTCGCACCATGATGACTTCGTCACTGTAGTGCAGTGCTCCTGAGTTCCACGTCAGGATGCGATCACATTGGTGGCGCCTGGACACATAGAAGTATTAATACAGTCAACACATTAACACAACATTACTATGCAACATGGTACTGTTTTGAGGTACTTGTAATGTCAAAGGCAGATACTAATAAATACACTTTCACTCCAGTACAATTATCTGGCAACTGAAGTTACTAAATAATTTGAAAATTAGGGTTTTACATTTAAACCTTTGCTCTGTTGCTGCACAGGGAGTACCTTCACTTTGGTACATTAGCATTTTGCTGATGATATTTGTAATTGTAATTAACTTCACACCAGGCTGGAAAACACTGTTTAAATAACAGTCAGCATCAGTGAGGGGTGTGGTCAGTGATGTGCAGTATTGAGTCTGTGTCCCAGTGTCCCAGAATGCACCTGGACTTCAGGACTGGGGGTTTTAAGTTATTATTTGACTAATTGATTAAATAATTGTGGACTTTGCAATGCAGTAGCTTTGGGTTGGGTTTCTGCAATCAACCTTGATTAAGGTTATGGTTGTTATGCCAATGAGAATCTTCATATGGATAGAAGTACAAACGTGTGTGTGTGTGTGTGTGTGTATTTGTCTTACATGTCCTTGAGTTCGTCTATGAAGAGCTTGGTGAAGTCTTTGATCTGGTTGATATAACGGCTGGGAGGTTTCTGTCTGAGGGCGACACTCTCAGACGTGTCCAACACGAAGTAAAGATCCACAGGACACTCTGCTCACAGAGGAAACAAAGATGGTTGTCAACAACAACTATTCTATTAATAATAATAATTCATTCATCCATTTAAATCTCTTATCTCTTCAAGAACCGGTGAATCCAAAATGCATGCACATCCATCTACCCATCAACTCAAGTGACGTCAGCATGGACGTCACTGCTGCAGTAATGAAGGCCTACAGGTCTACGGCACCCAACTGCCACAGTGGGTGTCATAGGTTCGCTCTACCTGATCCATCCTCACACAGGTAGGTTTATGACTGCACACTGTTGGTCTGCATATCCACTGGAACTATAACAGCACCTTGGTGGAGATGCATGTCTGCAATTTCATAACATGCTTTGATTCTTCTCCACATGAATCAGTTTGGCATCCACACCTCTGTATGTTCTTCTGCATCTCACCCAGAGACTATTCCACAATGCTCAGGTCCAAAAGAGAACCCCAGGACAGACCCAGGGCCTGCTCAGTGTGGGCTAGGCTACTGTCATCATCACATCTTACTTTTTCTTATTGCTGCGTCTCTGCTGCTGATTTGAAGGGAAAAAAACTCCCCAACTATGCAACCCAAAGGCAACGAACATCTGGATGAGCTCTTGCAACAAACATCAGTAGTATCAAGAACAGAGATGAACAAGCAAATTGTGTCATAAACAACATATACTAGAAATTATGTTTTAAAGGTACAATAAAGGTTCAGCAAACTTACCCGCAAGCCTGCTTCTTTGGTTATTAATTTGCGCTCCAGCCAGGAGGACGCTCAGCAGCGCCAGGAGCCCCCTGAGAGTCTCCATGATCAAACTGCGATTAAAAATGAAAACTCAACGATACACGACAGAACCACCCAGTACCCCCAAACAACACAAACACACCGGACCCCCCAAAAGTCCGTTTCTTCTTAAAGAAAACCAAATCAACGAAAACTTTTTAGTGATTCCAGCGCCTCCGTCGCAGTTTCTCCGAGGCGAGACCCAGAGCGCGCAGAGGAGGACCAGAGCGCACGGTGCTGAGGGAGGGAGGGAGGGAGGCAGGAGGAGGAGGAAGGAGAGGAAGTTTTTTTCTTTCTCTTGGATGGTGAGCAGGAATACTACACGAGAGCGCGCACGGACCTGGAGTTTACACAAAATCAAAGATATGTCTGCTTCCTTAAAAGGGCTCCACACGGGACAGGAACAGTGGATCCACAGGAATAAACAAGTCTGAGTGTAAATGAGGCCCCAACACGCACAGATGATGTTTGTTTCTTTGCAGCAAAAGTGACCTCGACTGTGTTTTAATAATTTTAGAAAATGTCTGCAGAAACCAGAGAAAAGGCTACTTGTTTGTCATTTCACAGTTTCCATGTAGATAATTAACCAGTGAAACACTGAATAGATGCACATTGGAGTAATTTCATCAGGCCTAATGAAAAGCAGCTGAAGAACATCTTAGATCTTTCTTTGTGTAAAACTCCCCATTCTGTGGAATTTCAATACATCTGGATCACTTCAGTGTCCAGACCTGAACATAAAAGAGGAGGGGAAGGGAGGAAGAAGGGGACGTGGAGGGGGTCTCCACTCCCCGCTCCTCTGAAGCAGGAAGAGACACAGTGCCATCTACTGCTCCCTGTGTGTAGCTCTTGGCGAGGCCTTTGGAAAAAGCAGTTTTTAGGGGGTTTGTGTGAGGCTGGGAGGTGCAGTATTCATTTGGCAAAGTGTAGATGGGGGTGGATGTTCCTGCAAGCTGCTGTGGACATGCATGTGCTCCGGGTTCTAGGGAAGCTCTGGGCCTGGACTCAGAGTTTCCAATGAGATCACTGTTTCGGTGTTGGAGAGAGGGAGAAGAGGAAAGGAGGAGGGATGAGGAGGGGGTACATCTGGTAATGATCTTTGTTTATTAGCAGGCTCTCATAGTAAATCTGTTGGCTTTTTGGTGCTGTGCGGGTGTGTTAAATCTAGATGCATGCATTCTGTGAGATGTCTCAATAACAAACATATTACTCCATACTCCATTAAAGTCATGTGGGATTCATAGGAGAAGCAGCTGGGGGTGTTTTCAGGTTCCACACTAGGTTTTACTGCAGTGCTCTTTTTACAGTCTTCACACTGGCAGGTGGGATTGAGCTCAGTCTGTTAGATTCTTTCAGCCTTAGGAGACACACACACAGGTCATGTCCTTGATAATTTAAAACAGTTTTACGACAAGAGAAAAGCAGTAACACATTCTGTCTGTACAACAGAGGGGTTCTGCATAATGTCCTGGGCACGGCCTGATGGCAGACAGGAGTTTCCGCAGGATTCTGATGTTTACTGGAGACACAGATGAGATACAGCTGAGAGCAGCCAGTGTCTCCAGTCTGAGGATTATTACAGTTTGCGGTGGGGTTTTTTTTTTTTCAAAATTTGGGGCTGTGCTTCCCTGTGAATGGCAAAAGATTTGAATTTGTTTCAGACAATGTGATTCAATAATCACCAAGCATGTGAGCGCAGATGAGATGAAACAAGAGCGTGAAACAAGGGAAAAAACAGCTTCGCTTTTCCAGCAAAAACATAAGTCAGCACAGATGGAAGAGATTAATCCCAATGTGGACGTTACAATATGACTCAAGAGCTTGTTCACCTGAGGTTCACGTTAACATGAAAGGGAGCTCAAACTGTGATCTGAGCTACGATGGAATCACGCAAACAGGTCTTAAAAATTGTGAGGGAACCAGTGCGAGATCTTTTTTAGAACAGTAAACAACTGGCATCGTGAAACACTTTGTTCAATAACAGTAAAAAAACAGTGAGAAATACTGTTTTTGTATTTTCAAACAGTTTTAATGTAATTTAACATTCAAGATTACCAAGCAATTGAATAATCCTGTAAAATTTCCCATTATATACATTTATGGATTTCAACTTTTTCCTTTATGGTTTTTATTTTTTTAAAGTAATTTACTGTATTTTTGTGGCATCTACACCTTATTTAACTTTTGCTGAAAAACACATTGTTGTTAAAGTGACTTCTCTTTATTACGGTTTAAACCACTTCAGATTCTGATGGGCGCCTTAAAAAAACAGGTAATTGCAGTGTAATCAAGTTTCCGAACCACGCCAAAAACAAAGTTAATGACAGGAAATGAGTCAGATTAACTTCCGCTGCATTAGTCCCTCATCAATCTCTAGTGTCCTCAAAGGTCCTTTCTCTACTTGGCTGCAGTACAGATCATATGACTTAAATAAGCAGTAATTTACTGCATGAAGTTTCAATTAAAGCAATCTACGGGTTGCAACAGTTAGATATGGTCGCAACCTGACAAGAGGATCATGGGGAAATGGTAAATGGTCAACTACTGCCCTCTAGTGACACTTTCTATTCTGATTGTAGGTACAACTTCCACCTCCACTTTCCACTCAGAGGGACACATATACTCTTTATTGCAGTGTTTTGTCTTGAATAAATTAAATCAATTTACATGCATGAGGTGTAACAAGGTCATTTAATCTGAAATCCATGAACCACAGTTGGGATATAAATGGCCAAGAGGAATAAAGTGATGTCATTTTGAAATCGTTATTTTCACTTACAGTATCTGTCTTTCATCTTATTTACAGAGCAACAAATGTTCACGTGTTACTTTTCAATAGTCCTCAAGAAATGGCAACGTTGGAACTAGATTTATTTTACAAGAACTGTAAAATTTGAGCATTTAACTCAATTTGAACAGCAACTGTGCAACATCTGTCTATAGTCCTTCGTGTATTGCTTGGTTGAGTGCATCAATACATTGCAGTTTCAGTAGCCACCCTGTCAAAGGAAGTGTTTCAGTATATTTGTATAAGTGTCACTGGATTGTGCTCCACTTTTTCTCCATGTGTGGCTCAGTTCATGTTGGAGTGGCTTTTCAGGTGCCTCCTCAGGTGGTTCAGACACGTGTACGTCTTGGGACAGATCTGGCAGTGGTATGGTCTCACTCCTGAGTGGTTAAGCATGTGTTGCTTCAGCACACTTCCATCTGAGAAGGCTTTCCCGCACTGAGTGCACACGTACGGCCGCTCCCCAGTATGAACGCGCATGTGAACCGTTACCTTGTGTGCCATTGTGAAACCTTTGCCACAGACCGTGCACTTGAATGGCCGTTCTCCTGTGTGGGTGAGCCTGTGCGTGCGCATTGCACCAATCTGGGAGAAGCCCTTCCCACAATCTGGACAAACGTGCGGCTTCTCGCCTGTGTGAACCCGTGTGTGACTCCTCAGTCCTCCTGCAGTGGAGAAACACTGTGAACAGTGGGTGCACTGGTAAGGTCGCTCTCCTGTGTGGGTGCGCATGTGCTGCTTCAAGTCATAGCGGTTTCTAAAGCCGCGGCCGCAGACCAGACAGCTCTCTGGTCTGTCATTGTTGTGGCGTAGCTCGTGATTGGCGAGGCATTTTTCAGACAGGAAACACTTGCCACATTCCTGACACTGGTAGGGTTTCTCATGGTCAACCCTCTGATGGTACTTCAGTTCGCTGATCCCAGGGAAAGTCTCCTCACAGTATCTGCACCTGAAGCGATGGTTGGGGCTGTAGGGAAGCTGGTGTTCACTCATCTGATGGTTCCTGAGCAGGTGTGCCATCTTGAAGGTCTTCCCGCAGTGAGAACACTCGTATTTTGTCAGCAGCTGCACACACTGGTGTCTGAGGCGTTCGTGCAGAGACCTGAACTGACAGCCACATTTGGTGCAGATATGGGCAGCATTTTTACACTTTCTCCTCCTGTGTCCGGAGAGGTGGACCTCAGTGCGGAAGGATTTGCCACACTGGGAGCATTTATATGGCTTCACTGCCGTGTGGAACCTCTGGTGTTCCAGGAATTCAAAGCGATACTTAAAGCTCCTCCCACACAGAGGGCAGTTATGAATGACTCGTCCGCGAGGGTAGACAGATTTGTTAGACGTCTTCCTGGACGATAGAGAGGATGAAGAAGTGCGATGAGCTGAGCCACTTTTTCTATGTTTACCTCCACTCATTAATTTGGCCGTCTCCATTTCACCAACCTCTTGATGACGTTGTTGATGTTTGGCCAGACACTTGGAGGTGATAAAGCTCTTTCCGCACTGTTTACACTGGTATGGCTTATCATGATCCACCTGCTGATGATACTTCAGATCACCAATCCCTGAAAACCCCACCCCACAATGGCTACACTTGAAAAGCCGGTTTTGAACGTGAGTTAGCAGATGCTCCTTTAAGCTGCTAGACTTTTGAAATCTCTTTCCACAATGCCCACAGTCGTAGTGACGGCCCCGTTTCGGGCAGTGGTGTCTGAATTTGTCCAGTGAGGTTGGGAAACTGTTCCCACATTTTATACATAGATATGCAGCATTTTTGCATTTGCGCAGCCTGTGACCGGCCAGCAGGGTGGCTGTTCTGAAAGCCCTCCCACACTCTGAGCAGTTGTAAGGCTGCAGCCCGGTGTGAACTCTCTGGTGCTCGATGAGGACTGAATGATGCTTGAAACACTTGTCACACTCGGAGCATTTGTGCATTGCTGACTGCTGTCTTCTGTGAGGAGACGTTGGGATGTCAGTCTGTTTTGGTGATTCAGGAAAGTCAGTTGAGGTGGAAGGGTTTGTAGACAATTCTTCATCGAACATAACAATCTGAGGAACGTCATTGTTTTCATCGTCACAAGCACTCGGGTGGGAAGCGATGGCTACTTCCAGCGATGGAGGGAGAGACAGAGAGGGGATGAGCAGATCATCTGACTGAAACGGAGCTGTGGAAAATAAGAGAAGAGAATTAGTCATATTGGTCTCATATGTCTTCAGCTTATGCACTTTTATTGAGTAGTTTATAGTGGATGTGCACATACCAATGCTGCTCTTTGCCAGTTTTCCATGGCACTGTTTGCTCTGGAGGAGAAACTTCAGGTCATCTCCATTTGAGACACACTGCATGTACTCCTCTAAGACCGAGGGGGCAGCACTGATCCAGGAGGCAGTCTGTACAAAAGTAAAACATTTTGAAATTCAAATTCACAGCACTCATATGTTTTTGTGACTTTGTATCAATCCTCCCCCTACCTGTTTGAAATCTGGTATTGGCAGCAGCTCCTCCAGTCTTGTGAAGAATTCACAAACTAAAGTCTCCAGTGCTGTGTCAAAGTCGGGGCCATACTCCACAGGAAACACGTTCTGTCGGGTAAAACAAAAGACAGTTTTACACAACCAGAATATGATTGTAATGATCAGACAGACGATATCAACATATTGAGATGAATCGTCTTATGAGATTGGATATTCAGGGAATGATACATTTTATTACATCACAATAATAAAGGCAAATATTAATCTTACCTTGAGGAAATGTTCTCTGCCGTCAGTGTCTTCAATGAGCCCTTGTACCAGCTTCATAAAGTTTGCCTCTGGTGCTTCAATAATAGGATCATTTGTCTGGGAAAACAAAAACACCAGTCAGAATAAAATATAAAACCACCAGTTTAGTGATTACTTTCTTCCTTTATCAATTTAGTGTTTTATAAATAAATGTCAGGCAATTCTAAGAAATTCACATAACAAGCTTCCAGAGCCCAGCGGGATGTCTTCATGTTGTTTGTTTTCTCAGAGAAACAGTGAAAATCTCATTGATATCAAACACATAAGACAAAAAAGCAGCAAAATCCAAAATCCCTTAAATTGGAACATGACTTAATTGTTGATTTCTGCAGTTGGTCAATAAAAACAATCTTTGCTCACCTCCTCAATGCAAGAAGATCGGATTCGGTTAAGGTGGGTCTCAACAGCCTTGAGGTCTTCAGGATGTTCGGAACGCAACAGTTCAAGAGTTGTCTGTAGAAAATGCAATTTCCATTTTCAACATCAACATTCCTATGACAATCTTTTCCAACACTGCTGAAGTTGAAAGTCTTCTTCAGTTCCCACCCATCACTTACCCTAGCCCTAAGGCCCAGTGAGAGCAGCCTCCCTTCCCTTTTACTCATCAGCTCAGGAACTGCATCTGTCACCATGGACACAAACTCCTCCAGTTTCCCATAATGCTTTATGTTGCGCTGGCGCACAACTTCCCACATCACTGCTGACATCAGCCGAAGCGGTGGGACCAGGAGCGCCAGTGAGGACAGGGGGACGCTGAATTCTTCAGAGAGAAATTAGATTGGCTTAAACAAAACTTAAAAACATCGGAACCATGTTCAGTGAAGCTGCTGTTGAATAAACCCAGAGGTTTCTTCACAAATGTTTAGTCACAAAGGGTAAATGGAAATGATATGGAATAATGCAGAAAAAAAAAAACATCGAGAATCAGGTTAAAGACAAAAATATCATACAAAAACATAAAAATATATACATGCATGTCCATACAAAGAGAATTAACTACTTTAAACATCGATGTGTTTAGATGTTTAAAGCTACACAACCTGAGACCAGAGATTAAATGTTATTTATGGAGCCAGTCTTCCCTGCTTCCTCTTTTAAACAACTTATTTTGAGGAGATCAGTGGTAAAGAATCCAGTGCTAATAGAAGTCTAGAAAGGATTCTCTCATTGACACAGTTCTATAAAGCCAGTCCATCCACCGAGGTTAGGATTGACCCTTCCCTCTCTGGTAAACACTGGATCTCTGTGATGCTAACGCTACAAACACAGCAGATAATGTTCCGTCATCTGAGGCACCAGGCTTCCCACAGAGCAGCTGGCTCAAGTAATGTCTCCAGTCGAACTACCTGAGATACTAAGACTGTGTTGCATTGCAGACTCTGCAGAGCTGCACATCCAGCGGCTAATCCACTGATGGGACTTGGACTGTTTGCTAGCGCTAGCATTTAGCATAACATCAGTCACTTCAGTGCAAAGGAAGCTACCATCTGTTGAAAAGACCCATCAGCGACGTTGCGTCTGGTAACATTAAAACCCTCTAATATTTAAGCGTGGTGCTCACAACAAAGCACCCACGTTAAGATATTAGCTACAGGGCCGCTAGTGATAGAGCCCCGGCTCAGTATTGGGCAAAACAATTCTTGTTCCAGGGATTAGTCGAGGCCTGCTTAGCCTCGGCTAATCCTTTGCTCTAGCTATTCGGCTAGCTGTAAAAGGAGCACACAAAATACATATTTGTGTTAAGCTTGGCGAGCTAATACATACCCATGTCGTTCATTCTGCTACGCTTCAATAACGACGGAAGGTGGAAGCGTTACAACGAGCTCTCTCTCATAGCTTCAGTTAGCGCGCAGGCTAACAGCATACGGGGCTTCAGGCGCCAACTTCTTCCTGAAACACGTTGTTCATAATAAGAGCGTTGGTCCGGCCAGTGGCACACAGCAACATGAGCGCTCGTTTTGTTGTGCGGGGTAGCCCGGATACAAGGACTCCTGTCTCATCTGATGTCAATGTAAATTGCACCGCCCCACCAGACGATCAAATAACTAAATCTGATCAGCTCATTGATCAACTATGTTTTCTAATGGCTCGTGAGATTTTATTCATACAGAGAACTGGAAGATTCAATGTTTAAATAACTATTGAGAGCTACATTCAAAAATAAGAGTAATAAGTAAACGAAATACAATTTAAAAATCTTGTTTTTCTATACAAGAAAAATATTTCAGAAACGTTCCAGCAGGATGAACAGATGTTTATTTGTCGAATGAATGTTTTTTTCCCCCCAGTTGTTTTATTTATTTATTTTTCACTCACTTCAAATACTGATATTGTGAAGGCCACCGCAAGATGTTTTAATTTTGGATTTAATCAGAGATTCTTCTTCTGTCAGGAACAAATCAGCTACTTCAGAATACTGTCGCTAAACAACAGAGACGATTGCAAATGATGATAAGTGCGATAAATAATAAAGCCAATACATAAAATCCATACAAGTGAAACATTTTACACAGTGCATTAGGTCAACTATAAAAAAGGGCTTTCTGATAATCAGACGGTCTGGAGCTCACTGTGAGTCTTTACGTGTCTCCTCAGGTGATTGAGACACGTGTAAGTCTTTGCACACAGCTGACACGCGTAGGGTCGAACCCCCGTGTGGTTCATGGTATGTTTCTTCAGTTCGCCTCCACGTGAAAAACCTTTCCCACACACAGAGCAGACATACGGGCGCTCCCCGGTGTGGACGCGCATGTGAAGTGTCAGTTTACTGGCCATGGTGAATCCTCTTTCGCACACAGTGCATTTGTATGGCTTTTCCCCCGTGTGGGTGCGTCTGTGTATCTGCAGCTCGCCCCCTGAAACGAAAGCCTTCCCGCAGTCAGAGCACAGGTATGGTTTCTCTCCGGTGTGAGTTCTAATGTGTACGTTGAGATTTCCGGACACTGAGAAACGTTTCCCGCAGTACGTGCACTGAAAAGGCCTCTCACCTGTGTGGCTGCGCATGTGCAGACTCAGGTCATGCTTGTTCTTGAAAGTTTTGCCACAGCGCATGCACATCTGCGTTTTCTGTTGTCTGTGGCGCAGCTCGTGTGCTGTCAGACACGCAGCAGAGCTGAAGATCTTCCCACACTGCATGCACTGATGGGACAGCCTGGGAGGATGAATCCTCTGATGGGATCTCAGCTCGCTCATACTGGGGTAAACCTCGCTGCACTGTTTGCACGTGAAGATGCGGTCCTGGCTGTGAGTCAGCTCATGCTTATCCAGCAGGTACATTTTCTTAAAGCCTTTTCCACACTGAGAACAGTCAAACTTTTGGACACTTTCCACACACTGGTGTCTAAATCTGTCCTGTATAGACTGAAAGCTATTTCCACATTTGATGCAAATATAAGCGGCTTTCGTGCACTGTGTTCGTCTGTGAGTGGACAGGTCAGACGTCCTCCTGAAGGCTTTCCCACACTGAGAGCACTTGTAGGGGTTTTCTCCAGTGTGCAGTCTTTGATGCTCCAGGAGCTCATAACGGTAAATAAAGCACTTCCCACACTGACCGCATTTCTGTGCAACTCTGAGCCGAGGTGGGCCGATCAAAGATCCAGACAACACAGGGCTCTGAGCAGAAGTCGAGGGAGATCTGTCGTCACACTCCTCCACAATGTGACCATCAGGGACCTGGCCGCCGCATTTCTCTTCTGTTTGTTCTGTGCTGCTCGGTCGCATCTCATTCTCATCCGACCGTCTTCTATCCTGTATCATCGTGTCTCCCACCTCCTGAGGAGAAATCGCCTCAGATTCGCTTTGGTTTTCAAATGTATTTGTGTTTGATTCCACGTCCTTGGTTGCTCTCAATGAAGGAGGGAGAGATAACGATAAGAAGAGCTGCTGCTCTGATGGAGAGGGCCCTTTTTTTTTTTTTAAAGAAAAGAGAAAACAACTGTTTGTATATTTATGCTAAGTGGTTGAACTATATCTACACTAGAGCTGCAACAAATAATTGCTGTCATTACAAATTTAAATTTTTTTCAATTTATTGATAAACCAATTTGTCTATAAATTAGATAAATGACTTACCACTTGAATCCATCTTGGCCATTTTACCATGGTGCACCTTGCTTCTGAGCAAAACTCTGAGGTCATCTGTATTGGTCACACACTGCATGTACTCTTCTAGCACAGAGGATGTATCACTGATCCATACTGCGGTCTTTACCAACACAAGATTAGTATTTTGAGGGACTGGAACCAGCAGATATGAACATTTATTGGGGAATTTACAAATTTTATTAAAGGAGAATTTTGTCTCTTTACCTGTTTAAAGTTCGGTATAAGCAGAAGCTCTTCCAGCCGGCTGAAGAAATCACAAACCATCGTCTCCAGTGCTGTATCAAAGTTGGGGCCAAACTCCACAGGAAACACGTCCTGCCAGGCAGAAAACTTGAATCACATGTATGAATATGAATAGGTGCTGCCTCATTTGACCAGCAAACAAAAAAACTGCTCCTTTTCATGTTAAAGCAATCAAGCACCTCAAGGAAGTGTTCTCTCCCTTTTGCGTCCTCCAGAAGTCTCTGAATAAGTTGGACAAAGTTGTCTTCAAGGCCTTCAGTTTGTGGCCCAAGCTGTCAAGTAGAATATGCACATTTAAAATAAGCAGGATCATGGAGAAACAGCCAAAATTTAATGTCCAGGACTGAAGACGTCACACACCTGTTCTGAGCTGGTCGGCAGGAGGCTGTCTAAGTGTGTTCTAACCTGTCTGAGATCATCTGACTGTCCAGAACGCAACATCTGTAAAGTCACCTGGAAAAGACACTGACAATAAAGAAACGAAAAATCCCTCTTCATGCTGCCAGCTGATTTCTACTCATCTAACTTTCTGCTTACACACTCAAATCAAAAGAATATAGTGATAGATAATGCATTAAAGGTCCACTCCATTTGTTTATGTGATTGATTTTGTTTGAATCCACCCAATGTATCACCTACAAATGTGATTACCAGTGTACACTTTCCGTGTAAAGTTAATAGTTGTCGTGGGTAAAGACAGTTCTAACAAGCTTTGCATCCATTTTCAAGAAAGAACCAAAGACAGATGTAGACAGTTGTAGACTAGGAGGCTGATAATCATGATTTTTGTCTGGTTAAAACCACAAGGTAATTGTTATGTCTTTTTATCTGTAACAACCAGACTACATATATTTTGTTGTGTTGACTGAAAAAAAAAAAGAAGAACATTACAGTATATTCATGAATATACCATTGTCGTGAAGATAAAACCCAAAATTTAGCAAAGAAAAACTTATTGTTAGAGATAATTTGCTCTTTCTAGTACAGTGTGTGATTTGCACACTTTTAATACATGTTGAGCAGGAATTCTCTTTACCGCAATGTGTCCATATTGATTGAATAAACACAAAACTCTTCACTAAAACAAAATGCACATTGGTCATGATGTCTTTTAGTTTGCTAAAACATAATGCATAGCACTGTCTCATTTTCAAATAAAAAATTTTAAGTGGAAAACTCTGTCAATACATTTTTCATCCTCTGAAACATTTTTCACGTTCCCGAGACCTCTGTATGCTTTCAATAAGGTTTTGTTCTTCCAAGATGTGTAAAGAGAAGAGAAGCTACAAGATGGATACAAGATACCTGGTATATGGTTAACATTTTTAAAAACAAGTTTTATCTGCAAAAGATGACTGATATCAGCACTTCAGTACCTACCTAACCCAGGTAAACCTTTACTGATATACAGTATCAGTAGGTGGATCTGATATTTCATACCTTTGCTCTTAATCCCAGAGTGAGCAGTCTCATCTGGCTGTCCGTCAATATATCAGGGATGGCCTCAGTTACCAAGGACACAAACTCCACCACCTTCCCATAATGCTTTACATTCCTCTGACGAACCACCTTCCACATCACAGCCAGCATCACCCGCAGAGGTGCAGCCAGGAGCCTCAGTGAGGACAGGGGCAGGGCACCCTCTGCCAGGGGAGAGAGAGAGAGGCAGCATTAGAACAGTAAACTGATCCAGTCACACACATCTCTCGGTTACAAAAACTAAATTAAGCATAAAAATAATAATCAGTGCCAGAAAGCTGTAGGGAGAAAACATGAGCCCCCTTCAATGGACGTGGATTACTATGACTGGGTATTCGGGCCATGTTGAAGAAAAACGATGAGGACATTTTTTGAATAATGTCGTAATATTATGTGAGTAAAGTTGTAATTTTACAAGAAATAAAGAAGTTGCAATTTAATGGGAATAAACTTTTTGGCTGCGTGTCATGTTAGGGAGGTAAAATCAGATGATTGGTGTGTTGCCTGTGTTAAAATGAGTGTGGAGGAACTTCATTAGGTTATTAGCCTACTTTACTTTACTTCTCCCATATAACATAATACACATCAGCACCACTTTATCACAAGTATCAGGATTTTTTCATGCAATAAACTGTTTATTCTTAAGAAAAGAGCCACACAGACACAGGAAATGGCCTATTTCTGGAGGAGGAAATGTTTGCTAGTGGGTGACAGCATATCGCTGGTTACATCACTGTGCTGTTCTATTGAGACTCCAGCAAGAGATTCTCCTTGCTGATTTTTCCCAATGATTTTTTTCATTATTCTCATAAAATAACAGAATTTTATCATCACCTTCATTCTCACAATATTATGAGGTTTTCTCAATTTTAAATTTATAACTTAATTCTTGAATTTTCTCTCAAATGATCTCAGAATTTTCTTTAACGCAATACTCCACCATAGATTACTCATCAGACACAGAGACAAAGTCCCCGACTCATCTGTCTGCAAGATATTTGGTGTCATAGCAAATAAAACATGAGAGGCAAAGACTGCAGTCATTCACTTTGACTGTGTGGGTGTAGTTCCCTCTCTTTTAGTGGGAGGACCTGTTGATGCATGTTTGCAGTGTTGGGTGATGAATAAAGCTTTGTCTTTAGAAATCATCTCAATGGGAAATCAAATACATGTATGAATGAGTCCTTCAGGTGCCAACAGGATTGTTTAGTTTGTTAAATGTTCTGTTTAACTGTGTTTGTTCCTTGTTATTATCATAATCATACTATTATAAAGCCACACATACTTTTATTTTATTATGTTCTGTCTTATATCTTCATTAAAAACCTGCAGTAATGATTAGAATTATTATGTTTGATAAATCAAAGCGATAACGTGAATGTTAGCAGGCATGCTAACACCAAAACAAACCGATGGTGACACCAGGAAAACACCAAAGCTTACCCATTTTCCTCCAGAGGAGCTGTGCCAGCTGGGTGTCAACAGGGGGGTGTGTCCTTGTTAAACAAACCTTCCTCCTGCAGCGACCAGCAGAGAAAATAAAGTTTTACTCCTCGACACTTTCTTCTTGATGCTAAATGCAGCTGGACGCCACTTCTTCTTCAGGCAGCGTTGAATCCAAAATGCTGCACTACTGCCCTCTACTGGAGCAAGTCAACTCATCTGTGGCACACACCGAACATGGCTGAAAAAAGGCAAAATAATTCATTTTAAAAAGCGCCCAGTTTAAAGTAATTACTAAAAACATAGATGAGCAGTTTCATCAGTACTTTGGCAGATACTCTGTGATATAAAATGCTTACACTCCTTCTCCTCTCCTCTTCCTTCGTTCTTCTCCCACAGAGGTTACAGATCCTCTGGTTTCTGTCCAGCTCTTATATCTTACAATCACCTTCCAGATTCTCGTGTCTTTCAGAACAGCCTGTACATTTGGTTTTCAAACTACAAATACTTTTCCTCATCAATTCTGTTCGCAGGGGGAAACTGACCAACCTTCTCCTGCACGACCCACATGTGTGTTTCTCTTCCCTCTTTGCTCAAATCTTTTGCTAAATACCAGTTAACCAACCAGTTGTCGTCCTACACATTGGGCTGATGGTTGAGTCGACAGTCATCGTCTCACACAGGGACTGAATCGACAGAAACCTGGGGAAATTGTAAATGGACGTGATTTATATGACCTCTGAAGGTGCTTGACACAAGTCTACTATATGCTGCTATTTTCAATCACACATTCAAACTCTGCTGCAAGCATCAGGGTGAATTCAGGATTCAGCCTGGACCAGGACCTGGGAATCCTTCAAGTTAGGGCAGACCTTTCTTTGACTATATCTTGTCAGAACTATTGAGCTCCCAGGATAAATCTGGTGTTAGATGTTTTACAAACCATGTTTTGCATGTGATGATCCCTGTGTGTTTAAGCAAATGGAACAATCTAAAAAGAATATGAAAGCGTTTGTATTTGTGATCACGACATATGCTGAAATGCATCAACACACAAGTGAAACACAAGTGAGTACTCTGCTGTCGGCGGTATGAATTTTTAATTTGGCACATTCAGAGAAATGCTTGTTTTTATCTAAGGAGTGTCTGGTGTGTCATACTGATGTTAAACCTGAGCTTTAAGGGAAATATAAAACTAAAAAAATCCTTAAGAGATAATAGATTAACAAATAAATAGGCCTCTCTAATCTTTACCACCTGTGCTGCAGTAACACATACATATTACAAGCTGTTGGCCTCTCTGTGCCCCTGACATCTTTTCTTCTGTTTGACTTACACACCGGCCAGATAATCCCCTGCTGCCATCATGTAGTCCATCTATATACTGATCTGTAGATGCATGAAAGCCCTGGTGGCGGCAGTGAAGGATTTCTGACCGTGATGGCCTGCTGAGTATTCATCAGAACTACAGAAGTAATTAGATAGTGCTTCATCAGACCATCTGGGCAGTGTCAGCCACCATGACTAAGTAAATCCCTGCAATGCATGGTGATTGACAGATGCGGCCGGTTGTCCCTAAAAAGGCTGTTTCCTATTTCCTTCTTTGGATTCACAGCCCTTTAGTGAGGCCAACCTCGGTTTTCTTGTGACTTTCTTCATGACAAACAGCCAACCAGCAGCCAAATACCAAGTCCTTGTTTACCTTTTATTTTGAATGTTTAAAACCTCTGTGGCTCTTTTTTAATAATTTGAAGGTGTTATAGTAGTAGTATAGTTATAGAGAATTTAATTTGGACCATTTTAATTTCATTGGCAGAAACATAACGAGCAGATTCATCAGTTCAATTCAATTCATCAATTTGCAGCGTAGTGGTGGAGAATATGGGCCGAACTGTGCAGCTACTACCACAGACTGTTAGGCAGCGGTTTTTAACTGTCCGGCTCTAAAAACTTGCTGTGGACTATGAACACAGCATCAAACTCCAGACAAGGCGATGATGGCAGCTGTTTGTTTGAAAACAGTGAAGCATTGAGCAGCTAAAGAACCAGATTTTTCCTTTCTGGAGTTGGTGGAGACCAAAACACAGCAAGGAGCAGAGTGAATATCGGACTTCTTTAAAAGGACAGATGCATGATTCCAAATGAATGATGATGTGTTGGTCATGCAACTATTCTGCAACGAGTTTTGTCATATTAAAACTTGAAAATTAAAAATGTCAGTATTTGTTCCAAGAGATATCTTACACTGCCCCCAAGTTATTACAGGTCTAACTCCAAAAAAAAAAAGCCAACATTTTGACATACAAAATCAAAATTCTAAGTATTAAGGTTTTGTTATATTTTTATTTACACTTTTGTGTGTAAAAAAAGATTATTGTTATTATTAAAATATTCTCTTGGTAGAAGAGAGCTTCCATAAAAAACAACCCGCCCTGTGAATAGATGAGACACATGTTGAAAAAAACGATCCCACTGACCTCTTTGACTGACGATGAGACTTAACGTGACTCATGACCTTTATTTAACTAAATGGTGTGTAAATACATGACATACATGGAACATGCAATTCATCAAATACCTTTTGTATTAGCATTCACCATATCCACATTACATGTAGACGGTTTGTAATGCATTACGTTGACATTGCCTGGTGTTTTACTGTGTGCTGGTGCATTTTGCAATTAGATATAGTGCCTTTTTAATCTTTAAAAAAAAATGTTTTCTCTCTCTGATGAAGCTTTAATCTCCACCACATGTCCACGCGCTTAAAAATCAGATCAATTACCAAGTTACATTCAGTCAAGTCACATTTTTCTGCCACTTCACGCACAAACCCGAGTTAAATAAGCATCTGTCTGCCGTGGGGATGGATGACCGTAGTATGGTGCGTGTTGGCGTAGTAGCCGCGTTGATACATGTATGGCCACATGTTTACTGTATGTACAAGTGTGTGAGAGAGAGTAAAAGAGAGAGACTGCGTGTGTTTGTGTGTCTGAGAGTGTGTAATTAAAACAAGTGATTTTTTTTTTACACACAGATTATCCCTCTATCCCAGCTGGTCAGAGTTGGATTTGACCACCCCGACAACCAGAGAGGAAATCTCTTTGGGGATAAATCCAAATTGGCACCCTTGATGATTTTTTTTTCCAAACTGAAAATGTTGGAGTGCTCAGCTATTAACTTAGAGATTGGCACCAAAATTTAAATATTACAAAACCTTTTTGACCTATTACTCACTGACGTCTTGAGGAAAGAACATTCCTGCTCTATATACACAAATGTCCCAAAAATTAAATCTGCTATTTCTTTAGTTTTATTATTTTCTTTATTGGCTGGTCACTATCTACTTTTCAATTTTCCACGATTGCAGTAGAGTGTTTGGTGATTAATCATGCAGCAGAATCACTGTGTAATAGTGTGTGTGGGTGTGTGTATGTGTGAGCACCTGCGCTTCAGTGAACATTTCAATGAATAGATGGAATCATTAATGGCACAGATCATGCATTTCTGGAAGCATTATAAACAAACTCAACCTTTAAAGGGCAACACACTCACAACGACAGACAGCCATGGAGATGCAGAGGTTTGTGCACATCTGTCCTGTTTTTTGCAAACATGGACTCAGAGAGAGATTGCATGGTGCCCTGCCTTGTAATGAGGTCGAATCAGCTAACTGGTTCCTCATGTGAAAGTCACAGAGACACTGCACAGTTATGCTTTGTTATTTTTAAGATAAAGAGCCTTAAATTAACTTTTCAGAATAATCCACACATGAATCTATCTGAGCTACATTGACAGTTGGAAAACCAAGAAATAGTCAGTTTTTATTACCATTTAATAAAGAGCCCATGAAGTGATCGACCTAAATACAAATACAGACCATTATGTTCTCAAGGAAAGTCTTTTATATAAAAATGAACACAGTATATTTTTATAATTTCATCATATTGTGTTATCATGAATCACTGACATTGTCTTTCAATATAAATAAATTACAAAAAAACTGGTAGAAATGAGCTTTACATACATTACAAAGCCCCTTTATACAGTTAGTTACAAAATGAGCTTTCAGTGCATTCATGCGTCTCCACTCCACGTCCATCAGATCTGATTCAATGGTCTAAAGAGGTTCAGAGAAGTGTGCGGACGACAATCAATATCAGGCACATAATTCAGGGATTATTAGTTCACACAACCTTTCATTTTATTAAACACGTTAAAGCTAAACTTGTGCTATGTTTGACCAAACAATGGCAAATTATATTTTATCAATATTGAAGAATATTCAATAATAAATCATATATCATATATATATATGTATATATATATCTACATGTACGGAGTGATACATATAGAGTAATAACTGGAAATATGTTTTTTTTGTTTGTTTCTGTGTGATGGAATGAATACATTTAATCCTGTTGAGCCTGCGTCTCTACCCTTACCTCCGCAAAGGAGGTCATGTTTTCACTGCTGTCTGTTGATTGGTTCGTATGTTTGTTTGTTGGTAAGCAGGTTTACACAAAGACCACTAAACAGATTTCCTTTAACATTGCAAGATAGGGTGCTATTCAACAGTAATAATATTTCAGCTTAAAATTAATTAATTATTCTGAAAGAAATCATTAAAAATATCAAAAAACCCACCCGATCTCGCAAAGAAGGTGACCAAAAGGTCTGGATCTGTTTTTGTATAATTGTGCTTACAAACAAACCAACAAACAAACGGAAAGAGAGAAAGAAAGAGTTCCGAGAGCAGACGTCTCATTCGTGAACAGAAGCAACGTGCGGGGAAGGGCTGGAGCTGGAGCACAGGAAATCTGAGTGTATGCGCACAGTTTGAGCACAAGCAGAGTGAATGTGAGCATAAGCAGGGGCTATTTGAGTGTGAGTGCAGGGTTTCGAGTTAAAGTATAACAAAATCTGAACATGAAATCAAAAAGTCCTACTGACCACACTCTTGAATAAAGAGAGGAAAAAACCGCCATATGCAGGTAACAACTGTAATCCCCTGTGTTATTCATGTATTATATAGGTAGACATTAAAAACAGAGAGCATCGATTTCTTTATTTTCTGGTGAGTGAGGACGGAGCTGTTCTCCTCTAATGGATGAAGGTAGTAACTGTGATTGTGGGTTGTTCAGTTTAAACAGAGGCTGCGAGTTACTTAAAAATAAAGCCTATTTCCTCGGCATCTGCTAATATAAATATATGTGTATATAAAATGTTATCTCTTTGACCACGACATATTTTTAGTTATATTCTCTGCTGTAAACAAAACAGACAAAAACCACACTATCACTCTCCACACAGTCGAGTCTCAAAGAAAGGTTTCTTCATAGTTTTCACCAGGCTCCCCAAGTTCAGAGTCTCTGGATATTGATCTGACCTCCGAGAGGTCGCTGGCTGCCCTGGTCACGCTGTCATACGATGGTGGTGAGGACAATAGAGTGTCCTCTGTGGTCTGTACAGTCTCCACCCCCACAAGCCCATAGTGCTGTATCATGGAGGCTATCAGCCCCTCTGTCTCTGGAGCGTTCTCCACATCCACCACGGTCTCGTGGTTTATTTGTCTGTAGAGGTAGGATGCCTGTTTCATCTGCCGGCGGACCAGGTGCCTCCTGTAACACCTCTGGATGATGATCACGGACACCTCCTCCAGCTTGCGGCGCAGCGTGGAGGTGATGGGCTCGTGGGAAACCTTAGAGGGGTTAGTCACCATGAATTTCTCCTCCATTTGCTGCTTGAGCGCGTCCATCTCGCCCGACTCGCCGAGGACGCGCTTCGTGAAGGCAAACAGGATGTCCAGGCAGTGGATCCTGTCCCCGCTGACCATGGGAAGGTCCATGGAGATCAACTTGATCCTGTTGGGCTTGGCGATGCGCAGCGGCTCAGACAAATTGTCAGCAAAGCTTGACAGCATCGAAAACTCAATGAACTGTGTCGCCTCAGAATCAAACTTCTCCCAAACCTCATAAAACATCTCAAAGTCATCCTCGCTCAGCGGCTCTGTGCTTTCCTCTGTGGCAACACTGAAGTTCTCCAGAATGATAGCTATGTACATATTTACCACAATGAGGAAAGAAATGATAATGTAACTGACAAAGAAAGCAATGCCCACTGACGGGCTGCCACAGTTTCCCCGGGTGTTGGTACCGGTGTTGACAAAATTAACGTCACACTCGTCTGGCGAGTTGGACATGATTGGACTCAGGAGGTTGTCCCAGCCTGCAGAGGTGCTGATCTGAAAAAGGCAGATCATGCTATTTCCAAAAGTCTCAAAGTTAAACATGTCGTCGACCCCATCTTGTTTTTTCACATAGGCAAAGTTTGCCATTCCAAAGATAGCATAGATGAACATGACGAGGAAAAGCAGGAGGCCAATGTTAAACAGTGCTGGCATGGACATCATTAAGGCAAACAGTAAAGTTCGTATTCCTTTGGCTGCACGTATAAGTCGAAGTACGCGTCCTATCCTCGCCAGTCTGATGACTCGAAACAGGGTCGGAGATACAAAGTACTTCTCAATGATGTCTGCAAGAACAATCCCTAAAAAGAGAACGAAACACAAAGACAAGATCAGGTTTGTCTCATTAGCTCCAACAAGTTGTTTGCCAGATTACACAATAACTACTCAACGGATTACCACGAAACTTAGTGGAAGGATTTGCAGTGGGTCAGGGAAGAAGCCATTACATTTCAAAAAAATCAGAGACATTTAGGGGGTTGGTATCAATGAGTGTGTGGATAAAAATCTGTATCAAGTGTGATGTCATAGTTACAACTGTAACTACCATCAGTGTATAGCTAAGAACAGTAATGTGGCCTTTGCTATAAGGCATATTTTAATGTAAGGGAACGTTAGGTCTTGGCAGATGTATGCATTGAGTGCTATTCTAGTTTCAAAACCACAATGGCCCAACTCTCCCCTTACATTTAAACAAGCTGCACCAAACTGCATACATGTATAGATATCTCATAGATATAATGTAACAGGTTCTTTCCTGACAAAAAACGCATCCTCCCACCAAGTTTCATCTTCATCTTCATTTTTACTCCATGAGAAAAAGAAAAAAAAAACAATTTCTCTAAATACTAAAATGATATTCTGCTCACAGCAAACAGACAAACCAATGATAGTGAAAAAGAATCCCCTCTTTTGCACTTCTATACGTACCGACAATAGAGAGAATGATAACCACAAAGTCAAAGATGTTCCATGCAACTGTGAAGAAATAACAACGGAGGGCAAAGATCTTGATCAGGCATTCGGTGGTGAAGATCACAATGAAGATCAGGTTGATCTTGTTGAGGATTGACTCCATGCGCTCGGACTGCTCATCTGTTTCCACCATCATGGTCACCATGTTGACGATGATGAGCATCATGATGATGATGTCAAAGGCTTGCTTGGACACGAGATCGAAGAAGAAGGCTTGGATAATATTCTGTGGATAAGGAAAACAAACAGTGATTCATTCAGAGGACAGAGAAACATAATACATTATCAACAATGTTAGCGGATAAATATTTTGTCAATATTTAGAATTCTTTTTGAGGATTATGTCATTTTACCGCAGGCCTTGGTATGGGCTTTTGTGGCTTTTTTGATCCCAACTTCTTCATGGCGTTATAGTACTTTTTCTGTTCTTCAGTCATGAAGATATCCTGTCCACCTAAGTATAGACCCCCCCCCAAGAAAACACATTATTTTGACAAAAATTTTAAAAATCTTTTTTTATATTGATAAATCTAGTTAGTTTAAACTTAAATTGCATCCAGATCTAGGTCTATTTATGTGGTAAATATTCCTGACAGTGAAATTACTTGTTGGGCAGGTTACAAAAAGATCAAGAATCATTTTTACTGTCCAATGTAGGTTCCTTGCTTTGTATAATGTGTCTTTTTTTATTTGGTGGATGTCCTATGAATCTGTGGTTGCCAGTGCTATCCTGTTTGTTGAGTTTGAGGGTAGCTGATGCCAAAAGACTCAATACACTGATTTGGACGGCCAGTGATGTGGGGGTGGAGCTGGACTCTGATGGCAGTGTGAGAAAGAAGGATGCTCTCCAAGTTGCTGACTATATTGGACAATGTCTCCTGCACATTCCATGACGTTCTGGCTGAGCACAGGAGTAGATTCAGAAACAGACTCACTCCACCAAGATGCACCACAGAGCGCCACAGAAAGTCATTCCTGTGTCAGACACTGAGTCAATAGACCAGCCCTTGACTTATTTCACCCTGTCAGCACATTAAACTTCATTTATAATAGGTTCTCTTCCATGGTATACACTGTTTATTGTCATAGTTTTGGTCTGTGTATATTTATATATTATAAATGTTTTTTTCTGATCCTGATTTTGTTGTGATCCAGGTCTAACGTCTGTGTTGCTAATACTCATCTTTCTTTTCTGCTGATTGAAATTGTCAATGATGACACCAATGAAGAGATTGAGGGTGAAGAAGGAGCCGAATATGATGAAGACGACAAAGTACAGGTACATGTAGAGGTTGATTTCTCTGATGGGCTGCTCCTCCACCTGAAAACAAGCAGTTCTTTAAGTTCTGACAGTAACATGTAGATGATATGCAGTCGGCTGTACAATAACAAAGATACACTTACTCCTCTTGAGTCAACAGCTGCATGCATTATCTCCATCCATCCTTTAAACGTAGCCTATAATACAATACATTACACAATGTTAGGACTTTACGCTGTGAACCATTGACTTTTGGAAAACAACATTACAAACTCAACTCAATCAATATTATTGTCACTCTGACTGACATGGTCCCTGATGAAAAAACAGAGAAACCCACCACTTGCAGCAGGGACAGGTACCCGAGTCCCACATTGTCGAAGTTGACCTTCACTTTAGTCCAGTAGAACTGGGTGTCGTTCATGCCGAGGCACTCAGACTTGTTGTTCACCAAGGTGATACTGTGAATGAATCCTGTTCTGTTCACGCATTTGCCGAACTTGCCAGCGAACAAGTTGACTCCCATGATGCTGAAGATGAGCCAGAAGATGAGACACACGAGCAGCACGTTCATGATGGAGGGGATGGCTCCGATAAGAGCGTTCACCACGACCTGGTGAGCAACAGACAAGATGCAGCTCAGGCTCACAGGCAGGAGTTATTCTCTTTGTGCTGCTGCAGGGAGTCAACAGCCACAAACGGCTTAAATTTAAGACTTTAAGACCATTTTAATAGCACTTAAAGTTCAATTAAAAACAAAACTTGTGATAGAAATACACACAAAAAGTGAAAACACCATTTGTGTATGTTTGTTAGACTCCACCGCCTCGATCCCCATCGTCTCCGTCTCAAATTTGAGAGACATGATCACTTCCAGGTACTGGCTCTACCCAAGAGCTCTCTTCATTCTAAAGCCACTTACATTTGCACAACCTCTGAATCACTGGATAAATCTCTGATTTCTTTAGTGATACATGGAAATACAGTCTGATTCTCAAGCTTTTTCCATGTTTTTTATTTAACTAATTGTCGGATTGTTGACTGAATGAAACACAATTTTATCTCAATAAGACATCTAGGATTTCAGCATGACAAAATAATATCTGATAGCTTTGTGTTGACTGAGTTCCTTCACATTGAAATGTGAAATGAAATGTGACCCACTTTTGTCAAACTTTCTCAAGAAATAATACAAATACTGAATACATGTAAATGAAACCCTTCCCTCTTAGGAGGAGGAAATACTCCTGATATTAAGCAGGGTTAGTTAGTAATCACCAGGAGCAGTGTTGAAAATAAAACATGTGACAATTCTCACCCTCATGCCCTCGAATCGGGACAGAGCTCTGAGAGGCCTCAGAGCCCGGAGGGTCCTCAGGGACTTGATGGCAGTGAAGTCGGAATATCCCAGTGAGTTTGCCACCAGGCTTATCAAGGACACCTGCAGGGAGCACAGGAATACATGTAGACTGTGAGAATCAGAACAGGAATTTAAATGTGTGTTTGTTAATAATCCTGGTTTAAACCTTTGGAGGAGAATTTGCAATATTGTTCACAGTGCATAAGACAGTAGAACACATATGTACATATGTAAAGGAACTGCACATATTTTCTAACCAATAATATAATTTGTAAAGAAAAAAAGCTTGATAAAAGATAATAAAAGACAGGTTAAAAAACATCTGATGAGCCATATTTGATAGTCTTTGTGTATTTTGGGACATTCCACAGTTTGGAACACAACTATTTTACTTTTGAGGTTTAGATTTGGTACGGTTCTTGTATCATTTCGCAAATTTAGATTTCCACTCTATTCTACATCTAAAACAAACAAAACAAAATGGTATTCCGCTGTTGAATGACCCTTGGGTGATGGCTATGAATGAAAATGGAATGATATAAATGGAAGAAACGAGAAATCCATGTCATGATCGATGATGACAGAACACAGACAAGTATGCACAGATGGACAAATGGAGTCCATGAACGCATACTCACCTATATATGCATATGAAATATGTATATATATCAAATAGAGTGAGTTTTATAAAGAATTTATATCGGTCTTTGCCAAATTTATATCCCAATTTGCCTCTGATTAATCCAACAAGTTCATTAAAAACAATTTGGACTAATAAGGTCCCAATAGTCTGTATTTCTTTATAAAAGTCTATTTACACAAGTGTTTGTCCAATATATCTAAAGAAGATACTCAAAGTTTATTCTCAGGACTGGAGAAGTCTTTGGCTCCACAAGACGCAAAAATTCAAAAAGCATTCATTAAAATAAAGTAAGAAAAGAAAAGATACTGTAGCTGCAATGATCAACAAGATTTATAATTTCTTTAAGAACAGACATAACAAATAACACTCAGTGCATGAATTAGACACAGCATTTAAGACATAAACTCAACCAGTGTGTTGCTAAATTGCAAAAATTATGTATTTGTAGGTTTAATATGTGGAATCAGCTACACCAGATCTTCTGTAGATAGACCTCAGAGTACATGGCATTGCATTTGTTTTTGATATAAAAGCCAAGGTCCTGAAGTTACTAATTCAGAGACAGACATCTCATTAGAAACGTGTTTGTTTGGGATCAAGACGGTGGCTTTTGATATCACAACAGAAAGCACTTACGAGTGAAGAAACACAGAAAGCAATTGAGATGCAGATGCGAGTTTCCAATCCACACTCCAGCCCATACTCACCTGAGACCTGCTCACTAGAACTTACCCTAACAATAGAGCGGTCTGTGGCGATCTGTGTAACAGCAGGTGAGATCAGAGGAGAAGTCAGGCCTCGGGCTGAACGCCGCGGGCACTTTGGATGACTAGACGCTTCAGGGCCGCATCCATTTTACCCAAACATGTTCACAGAGTGTTACGTGACTCTGATGCCTTTGAAATGATTTTTAATTTGTCAGGTCAAATCCTGGCATAAAAGTAAATGCAAGATTTGACAGCTGTTTTGTGTGTGGTGTAGCAATATGTGTGTTTCAGCATTGGGAGTAAGAGATGGTTCAGTATCAGTCAAGAAAAGTAACGGGTTGCTGCAAAGTACAAATGAACTGTCAAGTGCTTTCCTGTATGTGATGACACTTGAATCCTGCAAACATGAAAAGCTACATTCTGATGCAATGAGAGATTATAGATCAACCTGAATTCTCAACATGCAATTCTCAATTGCTGGCATCTTCTCGTGTAGCGTTACAAAATCACAGGAGGCACAGATCAATGTTCACTTACGTCCACGATAAGAAAGTCGAGCCAGCACCAATAGTTGGTGAAATATTTCTTGAAGCCGTAAGCGATCCATTTGAGGAACATCTCCAGCACAAAGATGTAGGAGAATACTTTGTCAGCGTACTCAAGCACCACTTTCACGACTTTTCTCTTCTCGATGTAGATGTCCTCGAATGCCTGCAGCAGTGGAGGAAGAGCAGTGTGAGAAAACACAACTTCAACACACCACTACTGTTGGTTTAACCCTTTAAAAAACATCAGTCTGGGAAGTTGTGTTTTTTGATCTTTAGTGCAATGATGATTTAGAAGTCATATATTTTAGATATAAGAACTTTACATAACAGTTTTTCTGCCATGTCAATATCGCTCAGTGAAAATAGTTACTGCTGAGGACATGAATGGTGCGTTCACCAGTTGATATTCTCTTAATATAGGAGTTTGCATTGTTAGTGGTACCACTTTTACTGTTAACCGATAACAGCCTCACTTTATTGTCCGTACAGCTGAATGAACGTATGTATTAAGTTACAACTGATGCAAACTATGCTACGTGCACTGTGGTATCAGATCGGATTCGGCACCGTATGATGGAAAAGAGCTGATTGCTGTCTGATATCTTTATTATAACAGTATGATTTTGTTTGGTTGCACTGTAAACAGATTACTTGTTGCTCTTTCTGACAAAGTAGCTCCTCAAAGAGTGTTTGCCGCCTACATAACTCTGGGACCTGTCGTATAAAACCTGCTGTTAACACCAGGAGCCTCTGGTGCTGCTTAATCAACCTGGACTGAAATCTTAAGGATAACAAGTTTTATAAAACTGTATTTTGAATAAAAACAAATACATGAAGTTTATGATAATTGTATTTTTCTATCTATCAGCCGTACCAAAGCTCCGCTGCTGAGCAGGATCATGAAGATGATGAAGGTCTCAAACCAGCTGTGTTCCACGATCTGGTAGCAGGTCTTTCTCAGCCTCCACCAGGCCTCGCCAAGACCGCGACTGGTGTCGATCTCACAGCACTGACAGTGCCTCATGCACACTGAGAGTTAAAGTGAAAACAAATCAGTCACATGGAGGGGAACAGTGAAACACAGCAAAGTAAGTTAGCAGTTGTTGTAAGGTTAAGAAAGGTAATATTCACATTCAGGGAAGCACTCCTCTGGCTCCATGCTCTCCTCAGCGAGCTCTGATATGTTGTCTATCTCTTCTCCAGGCTTCCTCAGGTCCACTGTGCTGCCTTCTGACAGGCTGACCATCTCCTGAGAAATGACAAGTCTCAATGTTACCAATCAACATACAGTATATTCTGTTTAGTATAGTACATCTGTTGCACACGGACATTGTTTATGCACCGAAGATGTTATTCACATACAGCACAAAACGTAGATCTACAAACACCTGCTGTGTCATCTCTGACTGGGTTGCGACCAGGCGTCCGATGGGCTTTTAAGTTTCAACATGAGCTGATGATGCTGAGTGGTGCAGCAGCATTTTTACCTCTGACATTGTTTTTTCAACCTCTGTTTGTTCTTGTTTGTTTGTGTGTCTGCAGGGTTTTCTAAAAACTACTGGAATGATTTCCATGAAACTTGGTGGAGGGATGGGACATGGGCCAAAAAAGAACCCATTAAATCTTAGGATAGATCAGGACAAGGGGCAGATCCAGGGATGGATTTCTTTAACATTACAAGATAGGGATTTTTTCATGCCCCACAACTCTGAGGCATGAAGAAAGAATTCATTCAATTTTATAGCAGACTAACACTACTACACACAATAATCAGGCAGATCCAGGAATTTTTTATTCAATTCCCTTAACATGGCGAGATATAAGGCATTAGCCGTAGCTGAGGTACCCGCTCTCAGTGTGTCCTTCTAGTTCTCCTCTGTATTCGCCTTTCAATCTCTTCTGAGCCTTAATACAATTCTGATGAGATTTTCTTGTATTATAACAGCAACATATTTAACATGATTTATAGGACAGAGGTGCAGTTTCCATCCTTTAAATGGTATGAAGTCTAATCCAGCATTACAGAGCATCCGCAGGACCAGGAGACAAGATTACCAGCATTACCCTCTAAGTGTTTAAAGACAGAGTGAAGAGAACCTGCACTGCATTTTGTTGAGTCAGGATTACACGCAGATCAGCAACAACATTAAAACTGGTAAATGGTTCTAATGTTGTGACTGATCAGTGTGTATGACAGCAGTGTCCCTGGTGACTGCCCCATGTATGTGATTTAAAACATGTTAACAATCGGCTGATTGCTCTTTGCTGTAAAGTGGCTCAATAAACCTGTAATAAAATTGAGCAACAATTGTCAAAATAATAATTACAGTCTTGTCATTTTCCTTGTGTTTAAAGCTCTTCAAATGTAAAATGTATCCTCCCAGACTGCTGAGCAGCTGCTGATGTCCTGTTAAGCTGTAGGAGAGTTTTTTTTTTTTTTTCATTTCCATTTTCCCTGATGCCTAATTCTGGTGTGGTGTAGAGTGGAGCATGGCAGGCAAAGAGGGAGAGAGAGCGCCAGACTGCAGCCTGCTCATCTCAGCCTGGCCCTGCCTGGCTCTGTTCAGCTATGTCAGCTTAATCTGCTCTGCAGGGCCTGGCTCCACATCTGGCCTGCTGTTGACCGCCTGCCAGAGAGGACAGGAGCGACACTCCCTCCACCTCAATAAAGCCCCAACTCTACATCCAGTGGTAGAGCAATACAGGAGAACACAAGGGCGGGAATGAGCGTGAGGCGAGAGGAAGAAACAGAGAGAGGGATGGTAAAGTCTAATGTGTTTGCTGAGCATGGCTGACCTCCTTTATTTCTGTTACCCATGGAATTATATTATATATTCTCTCATGAGACATAGGAGCTGTTAGGAGGGACTGAAACACAAGACATCACATTAAACTAAAACAGCTCAAACTAGAAAATAGCACTGAGTAGAAGGCCAAGCAGCCCCCTTAAATTCAAAGGTGCATCTAAATTCACACACTCATAGATATCAGTTCCCTTAATGTGTGTATGATTTTTTTTCCATCAAGATCCATGAATTATTCCCTGGGACATCAGAAAAAATGATGAAAAATGCCCACAATGTTAAAGAAAGTGATAAAAAATTCCTGGATCTGTACCAAAATCTGTTGGGTTCTTCCCTGACCCTTCCTGCACCCTTCCCTCTGGTTTTGTGGTAATCCGTCCAGTTGTTTTTGTGTAATCTTATTTACAAATAAACAAACATACAAATATATAAACCAACAAACAGCTGTGCCTGTAAAGTTCACTTATTATCTCAACATGTATCTGTATCAATATAAATTCACAAATAAAAAGTGACACCTGACTTTGACAACATAATAATGTGTTAATTATTGAGCTTGAGCTGAGATGTCATTGATTCCCTTTGTTTGGGCTAAAATAAACTTCATATACACAGTACACACATGAAAGTGAAATAGATCTCCGGGTTTTACCAGTTAATCTTACTAATTAATATGCCTCTCAAATTTTTGCAACTATAACGTCAATTATAAATTGTTCCACCAGTGGTCATCTGTCAGCTAAATGTCTAATAATGCTCTACAAGTAATACTAACGACAAATAATACTACTAGTTTTGCTTAGCTACACCTGTAAGGTTTGTGAAATTACAGTATAGCTGATGTAGTGGTCCAAAGCCACAGAAAGCCCTCATCCATGATCCACCTAAACCAGTTCAGACGTCTTCTCACAAGCGTGTGAGCATAAATTACACTGTAAACATGATGGTTAGAGTGGTAAGAAGAAGTGCTGACTAACCGGTCACACCATGAAAAGTACAGGCATCATTAACAATAACATTAACATTACAGTGTCTCTAAAGTCCCAGTAAATCATGGCAGTAAGCACAATACCAGGACCCTCACACTAAAGCAGTGAAATGAGATTCAGCCATCGTTAATCAACTAGCATTAATTTGAGTGTTTACACTAAAAAGATACCTTTATCAGACCACACGCAATTTTTTGAAAGTCTTTTATCCACATGTTTGTCAGACATTTGATTGAGATTAGGGTTCACAGACATGGTTGTGAATCAGCGAAACAGCACCTTGAACGGTTGATCAACATAATAACTTGATATTACTGTAAAAATAGCTGAGGCAGGACACTCTGAGACCACAACTGGTTCAAAGTGTTTCCTTTTTTTAGTTTATACAACTCCAAACAGATGAACCATCCCTACATCATCTACTCCAGGCATTTGCTGTAATATTATATAATAATAATAATATTCTCTGTATCGTTTGGCCAGTTGGTTTGTTTGCAAATATATGAAAGTTATATCTTGTGTTATCGTCATCCTTTCTCCGCATAATTCAGCTTTCTGAGAAAACGTTGCCAGATGTTCACTGCGTGATGTTACATTAACTATTAATAACTTAAACTGAAATAAAACAGCTGGATTTCCAACTTCTATTTGTCACACCAGGGCACTAGTCTCCATCAGAGTTCACCTTGTCTGCCTGACAGATTAACAGCTTATGCGTCCGGAAAGCCTCCACATCTGCGTACACTTCACAGCCCACCCCCACCCCTGCTACACGTAATGTCCCTCCCACTGTCATTTCATCAACCCCTCAATAAGCTTCACTTTTGATTGACAAGAGGAGCAACAAATCAGAGTCTGTGGGCTGGAAACTGGTGAGATTGTTGCTGGATGTTATTTCACTTAAAACTATGAGCCAAAACAAACAGAACTGATGAATCCTTTGAGAAAACTTTCAAGAACATTTTCTGACAACATCTCGGGCACAGAGCCAGTAAACAACTTGCCTTTAATACCATGTGGGTCGTCAGCAAGAAAAATCCAGACATGAAAATTAAGAATTAGTCGTTAGGTCACTTTACCTTTATTAAAATATATATATATATATATATATATAATCAAGCAGAAAAGCAAGGTTCAATTTGAGTTCCCAGTTTACGAAGACCTACATGAAACACAACAAGGACACTCAAAGTTGGCTTCCACTTGCAGTTTTTTTGAGAAGGTTGCATATGGCATCATCAAAAGCACTTATGTCAGAGCATGTGTTTTCCATCAGTGGTCAAAGGAAAAACACGTGTATGTACATGTTGCACCTGCGGCCACAATCCAGAAATGCAACATGTAGAACGCAGAGCAGCATGTGATTGTGTTGATAGATAACCTCTAAAAGCCATGAGTGTGCTACAGGTGACAAACTCACCGGTTTGTTGTCTTCATCCTCTGACGACTCAGAAATCTCCTCCTCTTCGAGAAACTCCACATCTGACTCTCCAGGTGCGATGGGAACAATGACAGTCAGGTTAGGGTTGGTCATGTAGTTGTCCTCCTCTGGGATGATATATTTCTCTCCATAGCATACAAAAATTCCACCATTGCTCTCCACGTGATTGCCAACCAGCTTGATGGCCTGACTGGCTTCCTTAGCCTTCTGCTTGTCACGCTTCGAGTTACGGTGACTGGCAACGCACGTGATCAGCCAGGAGACGCCTGAATGGATACGGGCGATAGCGATCTGGATGTTGTTCAAATCGCCATCTTCGTCAGGAGCAGAGAGGTTGTCGGAGCTGAAGGAGCTGAGCAGCAAGGCCAGAAAGAGATTCAGCACCTGTTTACAGACAGATGTAATGTTACATTACATTTGATTGGGAGAAATTATCAGAAGATTGTTATAACTTATAACCACCTCACCTGACTGTGTTTAGATAGGGCTTATATCAACAGTTAAGGTAACTTCTCAAATCAGAGAATGTTTGACTCATAGGCTGAAGTATTAGAGCATCAATGCATGATACCTACACATGATATCCCACGTTTGTCAACACTAGAAAATCCTGCATTGTAAATTCAAGAAGATATTCTACCCAGCTGTGACATTGAATTCAGCGACAATGAATTCAAGTATCCAAGTTTCCAACTCCCATGTAATACTCTGTATATGTGTGGTCTGTGTGCTCATTACCCGGGTGCATGTGTGATGTGGTACAGTTGGTAAGGATCATCTTTAGCCACTGAGCCAGTCAGAGAAGGAGAGCATGAGCAGATGATTAGTGATGAATGCCCTCCGACCTTCTCGCCCCTAAGCATCCTGGATAATCCCTTGGATTACAGCTTTCCCACGATACATGTGCAGAGAAGGTTTCTGTCCTTAAACTCCATAAGAAGCACTGTTGTGATCTGATGTTTGCCCTAACAAGGCAATGCAGTCACTGAATATGTCTGTATCCAGCAGGTGTATAACAAGACCTATTGTTAAGGTCATTTCATCACTCATCGCATCAAGTTGTCATTGCTGCTGAAAGGATAGAGTTAAATCTACAGTGGTGCTGGAGGTAGAAAGGTGATTTTCCACCTTACCATTCACTCAGCGCCATCCCTTTAGTTATTGTAGCTTTCCTGTTCAGTTTGTGCCCTGACATCACCCATAATGCAATTTAATGGGAAATGTAACACATTTATAGTAAATTTCGAAACAATGGATCTTCAATTTCACACTGAAGTAAATGAAAACAGGCCAATGAACAAGGATATTTTTGGCCTAAAAGATGATGCCATCGGGCGGTGGTGAGGATCAGTCGAAACATGTGCTCAACCAATTATGAGTCAGTGTCCGCTATAGGGTTGGGCTGATGTATGATGCCATATGTGTGTGTGTGTGTGTGTGTGTGTGTGTGTGTGTCAGCGCAAGAGAGCGGAGTTAGGACGAGCTGAATTAATGAATGAATTTGTACAGCTATGAAGAACGATGTTACTCATTTAAGAAAAGAATCAATCATTATGTGGTGATTAGTCTTGATACTGTGGCAATCATTTCAAACTTATCAATGTTTAAACTGTAGCAGGTCAGACACTTGAGACACAGCTGAGTTGGTGTGTGTGTCTATGTGTGTGTGATTGTGCATAAGACAACGTAACCCCCACCCCACCCCTATTGTCATATGCCAATTAAGATGACATTACCCAACCCTAGTCTCAGCTGTCAATCATGATGTTTCACCCCCTTTTAATAGCATCAAATAACTAATATAAACCTAAACATGAAGAACTGAATATACATCAGTGTAATAAGAACAACCTAAAAAGACAGAAACCATCTTTGAGAAAAATACGTACTTTGAGTTTGGTCCATTTCTAAGTCTTAATTATAAAAAGCCAATAATGCTGTGCTAAAAGTTTAAAGCAGCATGCACTTTGCCTTTGAAAATAATGCCAGCATGGCATGCTAACATTTGCAATTTACATTAGAAGAGTAATCCATTCCTTACACTCTCTTGTATATTTATGTTTTGAAATGCTATATGACATCACCCAGCAAATGTTGCCATACGCTACAAATTATCAGGAGATACAGAGCCTATGAGAAGCCACGACTCTGCTTCCACACTGGAGTTCAAATATTTCTGTAAGTAGATTCTAGACAGTGCCAGTCATCATCTACACAAAGACCATAACAAATATTAAGTATTTAATGGCAGAGGGCATGCTGGCAAACTAACAGGTGTTTAAGCAATATCCAACATGAACGAACATTCAAAGCCTTGTTGCTCAATGAAAAAAAGCCTGCCAGGGTGTCTATCTGAATTTAACCTCAGAAAAAAAATACAATGAAAAGAATCAATGATAGTACTAGTAGTCAAATTAAAACCCTACAATGTTTGATTTTATCTATTTCATCAATGAGCATTAAAACAAAAGTCACACTTGAAGTAGAAGACATTGACTATAAATAAATGCTGCAATCGCTTCTGGGATTCTTTTCTGTTCTCATTAACGTTAGCTTACAAGACACAGCTGGACAACAAATCACCATATGGGTGGACCAATACGTATCTTTGCTATGTGACTGTGTGACGGCTGTTGTGTACAAACAGAACTGTCAAACAGATTAATCACTTTTTCTTTCTTTTTATTTTTTTTTTACCGAAACGGCTGCATGCAATAAAATACTGGCTGCGTTTTGTCCAGTATAAAACATCAATACCTGGAGTTACAGTGAGAACACTCAATGACCTTGTCTGATCTTTTGCACAATACTTAGGTCAACATTTAACCCCGTAAGGCTTAATTCTTGTGCTGTGGATAAAATATCCAGCCCTGTCGACATGAGGCTGCAGCACAGCTGCTGCCGTAGAGTGTGTATATTGTGGCTACACTTTGCACGACAACAAGTGCAGATAATACATATATGAGTAAGAAGGGACAACAGATGGTTTATATGTCGTCCAGACTTGATCTGTTTGCAAGTCTGCTAATGCTAATCTGCAGGACAGTTGGCATGATGCTGTGACATAACCACATCCTCTGTGATTAGTGTGTGTTTAAACTCACTGTAGCTACACGAATATCAGGGTTTGCAAAATTTGTCACAATGACACCAAACACCTGTGGAATGTCCTCATTGGTGCAATGTAATCCCTGATTACTTGTAACATCATCATTTGGATTTGACAGTCGTTACAGTTTTTTCCCCTCCAGGCAGACATCCTGTTATCATAAACTGATAAATGACTAGGCTGGTAAAACTCTGGTAACTCAATTATTTTTGTTAAACCAAAGACCACCAGGATTTGGTTTTACAGCAGCAGGACTATATATGTGGGGTTAACTAAGAATACACTAAAGTGCCTGTGTTCATCATAATAATGGAATATTATAGTACCATAGCATAGCTGTTGAAAAACAATGGGGGTATATGAGACAGAGGAAGAAGATAAACAATAGTTTTTAGTAGGATTAACTCATTTTGCTTTTGGTCTTTTCATAGGATTTGTTGACAATGAGAAAGAAAGAGGTTAAAACATAATTAAAACAGATTGTAAAATGTTTTGCTGTTTATCAAGTATTTGCCAATCTTAGCTCATAAAGAAGAGTTTGAAATTACAACCTTCCCTCAGAAGCAAAAATCTGTCAATTATTGTGATAATTATCGATATTGACTAATATGGAAATGTTAAAATATATGTTTTGGCTTTATTGCCAAGCCCTCCTAATTACAACTTAAATCATGTACAATAATACTCACCACCAAGTTCCCAATGACCATGACCAACATGAAGACCAGAATGCACAGGGGCTGCCCCGCCACTTCCATACAATCCCACATGGTCTCGATCCACTCGCCACAAAGAACCCGGAACACGATCAGGAACGAGTGGAAGAAGTCTTTCATGTGCCAGCGAGGCAGCTGACAGTCGATGGAGATTTTGCACACAAAATCCTGATAGTTTTTGCCGAACAGCTGCATGCCAACCACGGCGAAGATGAAGACGATGATGGCCAACACCAACGTCAAGTTTCCCAGGGCGCCCACAGAGTTGCCGATGATCTTGATTAGAGTGTTGAGAGTTGGCCAGGACTTCGCCAGTTTAAAGACTCGTAACTGAAGAAGCAAACAAGGTGAAGAAGATGAATGACGTTGAATCTTTACAGGAACCTGTGTCCGATGTTGATGTTTGATAGTAAAATGTTTTAAACTTCTAAATTTAATCTTTTAACAATATTCGAACCAGTGTTATGTTATCAAATGAGTAATATAAATAAGAGGTGTTTGTTCCGTCTTAATGAATAGTCTACCCATCCTCAGTCTTAACAGTATGATTTATTCATGTAGCCTATTTATTAAATAATAATACGAAAAGAAACAAAATGCAAAATGCAGCAGTGCTATAATATCAACTATATTAAAGCATGTTGTCCAGCCATAACCATATATCAATTACTCTTGATTTGACATATTTATAACAGGAATAATAAGTGAGATGATTAAGAGTTAAAAACAGTTTTTTGAATGCATAAGTGAAATATAAAATGTTATTTTACCAGTCTAAAGGATCTGAGGACAGACAGCCCCTCCACATTGGAAAGACCCAGCTCCATCAGACTGAGGCAAACGATGACGCCATCAAAGATGTTCCAGCCCTGTTGGAAGTAGTAGTAAGGGTCCATGGCGATCAGCTTCAGCACCATCTCTGCTGTAAAGATCCCTGTAAACACCTGGAAAACACAAATCAATTCTGGGTTATACTTCTGTGTAGGTCTGACACACTACACAAGTGACCTACACTGACATGAACATTTACACTTGTGCACTGGTGTGTCTGTATCACACTGCAGTAACACCACTAAAACATGTCACTGTGTGTATTTCAAACAATGAAACTGAGCAGATCAGTTGAAATTGGAACATGAACATATTGAGCAACGTTTAATTTATTTATAATTTATAATTTATAATTATATTTAGTTATTATCAGAGTGACCTTTGAGCTACCTTTGACTACCAAAATCGAATTGGTTCACTCAATAACCTCAAGGCATTCCTGAGATATTTTGTTCACAAGATAGGGAGAGCTGGACAAACAACCTGGAAACATAATGCAGAGGCATAAAACAGTTTTATTCTATGTTTCTTCATTTAAGTGTGTGACAAACCTTTGACAATGGCAGGGTCTATTATTTACCAGTAGGGGGAGATGACAAAATGCAAACGAGGGAATCAGCCGTCCTCCCTCTAAAAATACTTACACTTACCAAAGTTAATCACCAGTAGTATAAAGTAGAGCATTCGACAAAGGAACATCATCTTACCAGCTAAGCGTCACAGGCTATAAAAACACAGCTATCTCATATAGAAATACGTTATCTGATTTATATAATTAGTCTGCCCTCTTGACTGCTCATCTAACACCTCACAACACTTAGTATGAAGTGGGTTAATACCTGGATATCTTTCAGCCTCTATCATTAAAACTCCCTCTTACCAGATTGCCCACTGAGAGCATGGTGTTGAACTCTTCAGTCATGGGGTAGTGCTCCAAGGCCATGAAGAGGGTGTTCAGCACAATGCATATGGTGATGCCTAGATCCAGGAAAGGATCCATCACCATGAACTTCACCCACTCCTTCATCTTCAGCCACCAGGAGCAGCAGTCCCATATCAGGTATTTCTTGGCGAACTTTAACCAGCAGGGATGGCACTTCTGCCTCGACACCTCCAGCTCTGCAAAGAGAAACCAAGATGAACGTTTCATCCTCAGAATCTTTGGTAAATTTCCTCTTAAAGCTACACTAATGTTGTTTTTCATTTATTTTCAAGTACCAGTGGTCATGATCTAAAGCCCAAGCATCAACTTGCCTCAAACTGTAATTGGTGTCTGTGTCTCAACTAAGTGATAATCAAAAGAAGAAAGTTTAAAGGAATAGTTTGGGTTCTTGTTGAGAGTTGGATGAGAGGATGATACTACTTGATGTTTATATACTTATACAAACAATTAAAAAACTATATTTAAAGTATTAATTATTAGGGTTTAGAGGTTCTGATGAGTGGATTTCATAACCCTGCCATTCCTTCCCAGTCTTTGCTGGCCTAAGCCAACTATAGCTGTTTCAGACACGAACTCTGGAGAATGTCTGGAAATTGGAACTGGAAAATGTCGCCTTTCACACAAGAACGCAGCAGGAGATTTTTAAGTTCACAACATCGAACAGGAAACTGTCCAGAACCTTGGTGAGGTGTGGCGCCTGAGTAGAGCTTGCGGGAGGCATGACATGAAGCATAAATTCCACTGCAGAGATCACTTGTCTTTGTTTATAGCACATCGGCACCAATGTCTACCCTTATCGCCAAAAGCTCTTGAATCTCATTGACTTTGCTAGTTGACATCTTTGTCGGTGTTGTTGAGGAATTGTTGACCATACCCACACATTACTGTATATGCCACTGCATATTATGTATATTACACTACATCTGAACAGGAGAATAGTGTTGAGGATTTTTTGTACATTAATGTATATGCCACTATATACTGTAATATGTATATATAGTGTATATTACATTATTCTGTACACCGAGTGCCTGTCTAATTCCACAGATACCCGCTTCTCGCTCTCTCCCAAGGTCAGGTTATAGATAAAGGACCAACCAACAGTGCATTGTAGTGTCTATGCTTAGGGCCTTTCATATCTAACTCAGATGCCCTAGACACAGAGGCACCAACTCCAACTTGAACTCTTTTGTGTATTACACCAGTGGCAAGACGTACGGACACAATGTGATTTAGGAATGAATATTTAGACTTAACTATCCAACATGTGAACACCTACACGTTACAAAGAGAATGATAGGAATTCTAGCCATTCATTGATGTGCTGTTAGAATGGGTGACGCAAGTAGAGGAAGACATATGGGGATGCTGGGGGAGACATCTTCAGACTTGGGGGTGACAATTGCTCATGTTACTCTGTCAGCATACTTGTATATTGTTCCACCTTCTGGTCTCCTTGATGCATCAAGTCTACATTAAAATCTTCTGCAAGATATCAGCTGCTGCCTGAGCCCTCCTTGCAGCTTCTAGAAAACTTCCATAACCAATAGTGCCTGTCTAATTCCACAGATACTTCTCTCTCTTCACAGTACCAAAGGTCAGGTTATAGATAAAGGACCAACCAACAGTGCATTCTATTGTCTACGCTTAGGGACTTTCATATCTAACTCAGATGCCCCAGACAGAGAGGCACCAACTACACCTCTTTTGCGGATTTCACCAGTGGCAAGACTTAAGGACACAATGTGATTTAGAAATGAATATTTAGACTTAACTATCCAATAGGATGTGAACACCTACAGGTAACATAGAGAGTGGCAGCAATTCTTGCCATTCATGGATGTGCTGTTGGAAGTGGTGACGCAAGTAGAGGACGATATACTGGGATGCTGCAGGAGACATCTTCAGACTTGGAGGTGACAATGGCTGATGTTACTCTGTTAGTGTTTGTATATTGTTTCACCTTCTGGTCTCCTTGATGCAAGTCTACATTAAATTCTTCTGCATAAGACATCAGCTGCTGCCTGAGCTCTCCTTTCACCAGCTTCCAGAAAACTTCCATAATAGGTGCCTTCTTGGTGTATGAATTCCAGTTTCTTTTGTAATTTCCAGGAAGGTCAAATTATTCCCTTGATATTTAAAGGACTCACCATCCATGGCATCACTGAAGAAACTGACAGAGCTCAGGCCTCTTTTCCTGTGCACTGGAGGAGGCTCGGTCACTGTTGGAGAAGGCTGGAGGGGAGGTCTGGGAACTGGGTCCTCTGCATTGCTGGATTTCTGGCAGACAGAAAACACAGAAAAAAATGGTAATTGTTAGTAAATACAGGAGTTTTCCCTAATTACATGCAAGCATCTATTTCTCACTGTGTCTTCTCTGACCCTCTCCATGCTGTACGCAGGGATGGAAGTGGGAGTGTGCAAGCCCACAGTAGTGACTCCATTTTGATCCAGGGAAATGTTGAGACGACCATTGACAGTGAGGCTCGGGGTGAAGACTTGTGAGCAGTGACTCCTCACACTTCCAGTTCTCCTCTTCCAGGGTGTTGCTGTTGAACTGGCACGACTCCTGAAGGCGTCCCCATGAATGCTATACTCGTCGTCCCCAAAGTCGGCCTCCGAGTTGTTGCGTGCCCGGAAGGTGCTAAACATGCTGATCTGGCTTCCTCTCCTCGTGCTGAGGGGGTGAGATGAGAGAGTTGCCAGCAGAGGGTGGACAGGCAAGGGAGACAGAGGTGGCTGAGGAGACACAGAGGACACATTAGCTCCTTTGGCCAAAAACGTAAAAGACTATCAGGAGTGCTGAGTCCATGTTGAGTGAGGTACCATTAGCTCGTCCATTGGTTCAAACTTCTCCTCTGCAGCTTCCTCCTCTGTTTCCTCAGACAAGGTCCGGTGAGATCTTCTTCTTCTGCTGCTGTTTCGTCGTATACTTCCTGTTTTCAGTAAGAATGGAGACAGCTCTGGGGACAACACTGAGTCTGTCTCCTGGGCTTGTCTCCTCGCCAACTGCAAATAGAAAATAAAATGTGTTATAGGATATTATGTTTTTGTTTGTCAAAGGTCCAAAAAACACATGGAAATTGGTGGCTGGTTTTGATGCACTGACTCTTTGCTCTCGTCGCAGGTGCTCCATTGCCAGCTGAAACTCTCTCTCTTTCTGCCAGGCCTCAGCGATGGTTGCCTGATTCTGCTCCTCGTAGGCCATCGCCACCACGGCCAGGATCAGGTTGACCAGGTAGAAGGAGCCCAGAAAGATTACCAGCACAAAGAAAACCATATAGGTCTTCCCTGCTGAGCGCAGGGTCTGAGGAAACAGACATGAAGTCAGTCAAGCTGAAGGAAAAGGAAAATACTATTCTTCTGAAAAGCTGTCATATTTGTTGACACAATATAGTGTATGGTTATGATGGGAAACGGTTGATTCCATAATTTCAGACAGCTTAACAATTAGAGGTAAAGAAATCCTACAGTTTTACAATATTTATCTGAGGTAGTTATTCATTCTAAAAAGATAAAATATGATATATCCATTGTAAAATTTAATTATCAATTTAGAATTGATTATTGCTAATGCAAACATAATGTGCATGTACTATGTTGTACACGTATAGAGAGATAATGCCTAAACTGAAACAGCATTATTTCATTGTTCCCTGGACACAGTGGAATAAGCTCTATACTCAACACTGACACACTATCTATTTAAAATGATTATGGTGAAAATGTCAGCTAACACTTAGTATTGGGTTGGTAACCTAATCCTAAGCCTGCAACAGCTAGCAAGAGCAGTCAGCAATATGCAACCAATCCCATATTTCAACAAATAACACAAAAAAGTGTAATTATTAACACATCCAGACTGATGCTGATACTTACAACAGCTTCCTACTACTGTTGGTGAGGGCTGAGAGAGTTAACTGAAATGTCTGACCTGCAGGCTATTAAAGCCAAAACAAAGACAGATGCTAAAACTCTCTCTACATGTGGAGGAACCTGCAGATGATAATTCTCTGTGGGTTTGTCACTATAATTTAATCTTTTCACACAACAGGTAGTAATTGAATAAAAAAGTGTAGCTTTAAAATTCTGCATTAGTTCACTCTTAAAATAGCAGCTCTAAATGGCATGGTTGGATTAGAGAGTTGGTTAAATCCTGTATCAGGTTGTTTGCCTGTATGTACTACGCTGCAAGATTATATTAATTCACTGTGTCCCATGTGTTTCTCCCCAATTAACTGGGTAAACAACATTAAATTATTGAGTTAAAATACTGTATTCTGTACTTGTAGACCAATGAAAGTTTTGTGAAAGAAAAATATAAAGATAATTTTTCTAGGCAAGCAAAAAACATCCCGAATATCAATAGATTAAAACAAAATTGCACCTGATGGAAGAGTTTTTCCCAGTAGTCTTGCGTCATGAGTCGGAACAGTGCCAGAAAAGCCCAGCCGAAAGTATCGAAACTGGTATAGCCATAGTTTGGATTTCTTCCTACTTTTAGGCAGTCAAATCCTTCAGGACACTTCCTGTGAAGCACACAGAGACAGATGATTATGAGACAGGACTGATAAACAAAAGCTGGGACAGATATGGCTGTAGTGGCGTGCAGGCTGCTTTACCAGAGTTAAAAACATCTCCAGTATCTACATGTATGTACATGTAGCCCCGTGGCTTTTGACTCCACAGGAGAGAGAAGCGGATGAGTCAGTAAGTACATACACTGCCACCATCACCATTATTTCAACTGAAGAGGGCACTTGAAACTCATCCAGGCAGGAGCACTAAAATGCACTGGTGGAAAAAAGGATTACACCGAGCCAGATGGATATCAAATTGCAGTTTAAATTTTTTTTTAGCTCGATGCCTCCATATCTGATCTTCATTGTCAGCATAGTGGCATTACAGCAAATATTTAAGTCCAGCAGCTGAGAACAAGCTGGGCTGCCATGTCAGTCTGAGTGCAGAATAATTTCATAATGGCTGGGAAACAGCTGGGCAGGGGAGCGCTGCTGTGAGAACAGCTGTAGATCTCACCAAGCGGCCAGCTGAGCGGGAATGCTCAGTAATGTGCAGGAGTGAGGATAGAGGAGGCTGCGTGAGGCCAGCGACATCTTCTTGTCAGGCTGTCCCCTCCCTCTGCCCCTTTGCAGCACTGCTTGACCTGTCATCTATCTGTTCCCCTCTTTTAATCAACATGACAAAACACTAGGAAAGAATTACATAAATAAAATACATTTGCTGCTTTTCTTTGTTCCTATGTTACAATAAACGAAAAAGCTTATAGAAGTGACGTCACCTTGAGCTTCAGGAAAATGTGATGGGCACTAACACTTTACAGGTACATAGTAACATTTTTTACTGTTGATTAATCAATAATAGAAAAAAAATATTAGTTGCTATCTAATGGAAAACACTGCTGCATGGGAATCAGTCTAAATGTATGTAAAAAACATATTTAATATTATCTACAGCATTAAACCTTAATCGACTTCCTATTTTCTGCTTCTGTTTTAAACATTATTGTACCTTCTATTCAGAATGTTGGGTTTGAGTTCACTCTCTCAGGTATAAATTAAGTCACCCTCCGCTGCCTAACATGCAATGAAAACCTAAAGCATACATCATTACATTACATTGCAATCTTATCCATTAGCCATTGCTGTCACTTTAACAACAGTATGAACACATACTACTCTTTTCGCAATTGGATGCTGCTGCAAAAAAACAAAGCACCTGTTTGGCTAATGTCTTACAGGTTTCTACGGGAACTGCCCTGAAGACTGCATGGGTTATTCCTGAAAACAGTCCTCCAGGAGAACTGCTGAGCCGCATGAACCCACTGTGGGATCCGATGAGTCTCCACGCTGAAAACATCCACAGCATCAAGCGGTGACAGCTGCATGAAGGGAAGACTAGAATATCTAGTGTATATCCTAAAGTGTATTAAATTGTTCTCATAGTAATATACTACAGTGTATTACTCTAGATTAACTAATTTGAGCCAATTCAATCTGAAACTACAAATAAGAAAACTACACTCGTGAATAATATTATTAGGAAGACCACACTAATGGCTACTGGGCACGTCCTCCTTATGTTCTCAAACATTGTCAATTCTTTGTGGCATAGATTTGACAAGAGGATGGCAATATCCGCTCCATGTTAACGTGTTTACATCACATCTTTTCATCAAGCTGGAGGATGTTTAATTGTGGCAGTCAGCTACTAATACTCAGACTGTGTTCTCAGACTCTTTAAACCTGCTTTTACATCTTCACATTGGTGCAGTGTTGAATGCACTGCTTCGCAACTGTAATGTCACTGACAAAAGCACTGACTAATCAAGTCAAGCAAGTTACACAGAGTTTGCTAAGTCACTTCATACTGTGCAGAAATGAATCAACGCTAAGAAACATACACTAAAATAACCTAAAACTGACAGCAAACATTTTCAAAGATAGTCAACAATGATGTAGTAATTCTAGGGCTGGGCGATAAAACAATATAAAACATTATTACAATATAATTTGTATAGCAATAGCAATATACCAAAGGTTCAATATTTATCGTGCAATACTTATGCATTGTGTACAGTCAAGAGTAAGGCTGGACGATATGACTTAGAATCAATATCACAATGTGTGTGTGTGGGTGTTTGCTCTCATCTCTGTCACTCTTAATACAAACTGACAATCATATTTATTTAGTTATTAATCAATGCTGTCGAATCATGAATCAAGATCGTTCTGATCATTTTAATCCTGATATCCTGGCAGTGCAAGTCGAGTTACGTCTCGAGTTGAGTGTGGCAGGTGAAATGCGCACACAAAATTTATTTTTTGGGTGTTTAAATAATATTTTGGTCCTATCCTAATAACTTCTTAATAGTGATGGAGTTTATTGTTAAAGTGTTAAGTGAGTGCAGGGGAACACAGCATGCAACGCTGTGGAAAATTGACAATACATTTTCTATGAATTGCCAAGCCCTATAGAGAGGAGGTATAACACATACTTGTACCACCTCAGATTTGTAAAATGTTTTGCTGTTTATCAAGTTTTTTTCATACTCTGCGTTCTGAGTTTAAAACTGCAACCTTCACCCACGAGCCAAAATCAGTCTTAAAGGTTCAGTGTGTAGAATTTTGTGACATCTAGTGGTGGAGTGTCATGTTGCAGCTATACACCCCTTCCAAACATGAAAGAGAACCTGTGGAAACCTTCAGTTGTAAAAACTCAAAAGGTGTTTGGTTTGTCTAGTTTGGGCTACTGTCAGAACATGGTGGCTTCGGTAGAGAGGACCCGCTCCTGATGTAAATATAAAGTATTTAAATAAAAAGGGCCCATTTTAGAGTAAAGAAAACAACAATTTGTTGTAGATGAAACACACAAGTGAAAACACCACTGGGATTTTTTTATGTAAAATTTCTGCTGATAGATCTCTTTCATTGAAATCTTGAACCTTTAACAGAAATAATAATATGACATTTATGATGATCTTGACTGAATGAATGACTTACATGAAAATGTTAATCTTGATATAATCTTTGGCTTTATCGTCCAACCCTATCAGAGTTAAAGATAAAAATAGCCAAATAATATAGTGTGGTCCTTAACATTCTCATAAACGTCATCTTATGTAACCAAACTATCACAGTCTGTGTGCGCTCTATTGAAGCTCTTTAATAACATGTTTACATTTGTATTCATACTGTGATAGTGCACAATCCACTTCATGAAGTTTAAGTAACAGAACAGCAGCAGAACATCTGTCAACCTCAACAAAGTGTTTTCTTTCTATCCTGGGCAGGACTGAGGTGGTGGGTTTCCATGCCCACAATAGTCAAGGGTAAAAGTTGAAACTGTCTATACAATCAGTTATAATCCTGGATGCACAGTGGCTTTAAGATGTGAGGGGATCAGCATTGGCCTTAACTCCACAGTGGGCGTAATGACAAACAGCTGGGACCTTTGAGCAAATCATTTATCACAAACTTGTTAACCATCTCGTCAGAAATCTTTTTAGAATATGTGCGTGTGCATGCGTCCCCACTTGTGTCTGGGGTGTGTTCGTGTGCATGTGTGTGACCGTGTGTGTGAGTGTGTGTCATCATAATGTATCCAAAGCTTTAATTTGGAAATCTACTCAGGGATTACTTGTTGGAATACACTCAAAAGATTAAGCATCCTCTATGTTTTACGTCCTCCATCCTGACCTGCTTAATATCTTGCCCATCTCCACAGCCAGCCTCAGAAAGTTCCATCTGAAATGTCACACAAGTTAAAGGGCGGCCTCATTTTGACAGCAAAACCATAAGCTACCGTGTGGTTCCTTTGGCCTATAACCTGACAGCCATGTCATACAGCTGCTTCATCCTGTTTTTGAGCTGTTATCAATCAGCAAACGGGCAAAGAAATTCAAAAGAAAACACTATAAATGCAATAAACAGCACTTTGTTTGAAACACAAGCGCAATGCATGATAGTATATATTGCTTGGTTAGTGAACACCGTTTGTTCACTTCTTTTCACGATGCATTGTGGGAAACAATGAGTGCACTATAGTGTATAAAAACTTAACATTCAGACACCAATACAAAATGGCAAAACCACTATATAGTGCACAATATAGTGATTAGTGAGTGATGTCAGTCTGTGTCATTCCTCAGCTTGTCGCCAGTAAATCGATTTTTTGTGTCTCGCAGTAGAGCATTCCTCCTCCATGTTAGCGTAAGTATGTTTTTGAACTTTGCTCGTCTTTTGGACTCTTTTTCCTTTGCCTGTGGATTTGTTTGAGTTTATGAAACTGATCTGTTTCGAGTCATGCATCTAAGTCCAAACGGTGCCCCGGTCATAACAATTATCACACCAATTAGACAGGAAAACTGTCAGGAACACAAAAACATCCCACAAATCGAAAATAAAAATAGAGTGAAGGTAAACTCTGGATTGGTAATATCGGTACTAGTATGATCTTACTGACCCACTATTTAAGTGGAATGACATCATTTCACCCTGAACATCCTCGAATGCATCCGCTTTTGCCCTGAGTTGTACACAAACTACTGAATCAGATTTTAAATCCCTGTGTTTTTGTAGGACAGGTTGCCGAGGGAGATGAAAAAAGAATTGGGCAGGCCACACTGTGAAGCCAAAAAAGATAATCGACTACCCCCACTGTGTCTATACTTTCTCTGTTAATTTATTAAAACTAGGTACTATATGCAGTATTAACTTAATTCAATTTAAAAAAAGTCTTATACACACTTGAAATGTCTCATAAAATGACTCAAGAAGGACCTCAAGGTTTCTACCACTAAAATTACTGAAACTTGAGAGGAGAGACACAGGCCGGTTTACACTTAAATCATTTTTTTGATTTGTACCTAAATAACCCAATCTGTTAAAGTTGCTGCTATTTATTGATGCATACTTTCTCTCTGCTTTCAAAGAATCCCAGAGTTTAACTGTGTAAAAATGGTTCCATAATGTATTCTTTTTTAGGTGTTACTATTTACCAAAATATAAAACATAATCAGGTTCTATATAGAAGGAAGAATGAAAAAAAATCCCTTCAAAAACTCCACTACCTTCACTGTTATTGAGGCATTATCATGTATCATTAACTGGAGCACCTAATGGAAGCCATTTGTTGAAGCTGCAGGATTTCAGATTCACACAGATGGGTATTTAGTTCACTATAACCCTTGAACTGGGCCTGGCAGGGGCAGAGTCATCCTGTTGTGCTTGTTTCAAAAGCATTTGGATTTATAGGATTATTCAGCGCGTAAGGCTGAGTAGCAATATTTGGATGGTTTCACACAGTGCCTTTGATTGGGAACAAAGTCCAACAATTTACACATGAAATACTGTCAATGGACATAAACATTTACAGACACTGTATCTGAGAAAGATACTGAGGCTTAATATTCAACTTTCTTCTGCTAAAATTGATTTTTTAATCATGAAAAAGTAGTAGTAGTAGTATTTCTGGTGCTATAAACTTGAAATGAATCTCCTATCAACAATAACAGAATATCAATCTGAAGTGATCCAGTTCGCCCTGTTTTACCTAATCATGTCATAGAGCTTTTGAGACGATGAAATCTCCACAGACCCCCCCTCTCTCCAGCTGGCAACTCCATGTTTCTCAGTAAAGGGTTCCAGTTCCACTGGGTGATTATCCACACCACATGTCGTCTTGTGTACACCCTCTCACGCTACCCCCACCCTCCGTCGGATGGGATCACTCCACTATACATTATGTCCCAGATTGAAAATATGAAGCGGAAAGTGTATCATGTGTTGTTGAGTCTGTTTTTTGTAGATCTGTAAAAACTATTTTAGCACTGAGCCTGATGCTCAATCTGCTAAATCCAATTGTGCACATGACGTGCAGGATCAAAAGCCATTAGATGCTAAACATTGTGATATTATGTAATAGCTCACAGATGATTAACAAGCAGTAAGAAGGACACTCACTTACCCTGCATCACTTCCATATCCACATATTAAGGCATCCTTTGCTCCTTCAACTTTGTAGAAATTATCTAAAACAAGGAAATGGGAAGTTTAAAGAAACAAAATATTTTTTTTCTTTTAACTTCATTTGATAATACTGGCACTACACATTGTACATGTGGGAAATATAAAGCTGCTTTCAGACATGCACTAATTGTGAGAATATTACTGTCTGAGTCAGTTGCTCAGCACATTTTCCTGCCAGAGTACAATAATAGAATGTAAAAAAAGACAGCAGGTATATATATATATATATATATATATATATATATATATATAAATAATAGAAATTTCTCAAGATGAAAAAGATGTGCCATACAAGTAGAAGACACTACAGAAAACTTGGAAGAAGTAGTAGGATTCGAGAGCTTGGTAATAAGCAGTGTGGATGTGCTGTAAACAAAATAAAGAAACAGAATTTATACATTATGTCCTTCCTCCTGCTTGCTCTACCCAGGCTCCACCCCTCGTCTGAATGTGGTGGTTGTGAAAATGTCTGACCCAAACCATCTCCTGCTGCTTTCTTCATATGTGAATGGCAAACTTCCTGTCTCAAAACTGCAGAAGTGTGCTTTGTTTCAGCTGACCTTCACTGCTGAGGAAGTCTGCCCTGGAGCTCCAGGTTCTGTTGTTACAGATAAAGGAGGCGTTGGCGCTGTAGGAGGAGTTGACGCAGTGTGCAAGACTGCGGACGCATTTTTGTCGCAAGAGCCCCATGAAGAGCTGCAGGCCGATGAGGGCGAACACGCTGAGACAGAAGACGGTTAGGATCATCACATCTGCCAGCTTCCTCACGGACTGGATCAGGGCACCAACGATGGTCTTGAGACCTTGAGGGAGGACACAAGACAATATGTTAAACTTTGTTTTTACAGTGACACCGGAACATGGAGGTTTGATGTCATGGGCATCTTACCTGGGATAACTGAGATGGTTTTCAGAGCTCGTAGAACTCTGAAGGTCCTCAATGCAGAGACGTTTCCAAGATCTACAAATTCTGTCAAATATCTGTAGATTTGTATGAACAGTAAGAGGATTAAATGAAGAAGGTATTCTATATGATCAACAGCAACACCATCATAATAACATATCTTTAAACCACTTCATCATGTCTTCATAAATACATTTAAATCAAATAAATAAAGCCCCTTTTCCACTGATCAAATAACCTTTTAGCATCCAGTAATATCTGGCTTTTGTCTGCAATAGGAATAGATACAATCTGAATTCACTCCTGTGTCAAATGAATGCAGTAGACACAGGTTTTTATCCGATTGGTGGTGATGGAGATGAGACATACGGGTGAATGTGCTACATTGGCAAGTCAACGAGGTAAGATGATGTCAAACATCACACACTAATGGAAAAAACAGAAAGGCAAACTCATCTCCTGGAAATAGATTTTATCAAGTTTACCCCAAAAAATCTGGGTATCATTTGGATTTAAAAGAGGTCAAAGTCTTGATGTAGACTTACATATATGAACAAAAATTTTAAAGATCTCATAGAATGAGTAAGTGGCGACATTATATTAAATTATATATATATTAAATTCAGCAAACAGTTGCCTATTTATATAGCAGACACGTTCTAAAGGATATATCTGGTTCTTTAGCTGCTAAGAGTTCCACTTTATTCACCAAATAGATGCTTTGTTTGTCTGACTGCTGTTTGGTGCAAGGGACGTAGTGCAAAGGTCTTTATTTAATGTGCTTTTGCCAATTATTAGATAACTGCTTCTGTCAGGAAGCAATGCTAATCATGTTGTAAGAGGGTTATTAGTTGATAATAATAATAACCTATTAACCTTTTACACATGCATATAGTTGTGTGATCCATTGTTTAGGTAAAAACATTGATTTTAGTGTCATTGAGAGCTCAAACAGCACAGTAGCAGGTGCTCTGTGCCTGTGAGAGGCAAATACAGATGAATTAGCTGACTGAACCATAATTAATCAAAAACAGATTAGTCACCGCAGATAATGACAGCTTTCAGAGAGAATATAACCAGTACAAGTAATTTTGTCTCGCTGTTTCCAAACAAAGCAAACGTCCTATCAGGATGATTGGTCTCAGACAATGCAGCAGCATGGAGAGGTCACCTGTCTTATCTTCTACCTGCATCATGGGATCATGGCACACATACCTACGACCTCCACAATAGGCTTATCGTTCATGGTGTTTCATATCAGCACATGAAATTACTAAAGAAAGATGGAACAGGTTTTGGTTCTGCTTATTATTACAGCACAAAAACTATCCCACAAAACATGACTTTTTGAATGAGATTTCTCTAACATCTGCACAATGCAGCGACAGCTAATGGAAATAAATGTCAGGTGAGATTAACAATCTGTTGTGACATTGTTACTTACGCCATGACAATGACGGTGAAGTCCAGCCAGTTCCATGGGTCTCTCAGGAAGGTAAACGGCAACATGCAGAATCCTCTCGCTAATATCTTTATCGCTGACTCAAAGGTGTAAATGGCAGTGAACGTATACCTAGAGAATATTCATGGAGGAGGAAGAAATTCAAAGTTAGCACTCAGTACAATGATGCACAGATTTGAGCTTTACAAAATAAATCACTTCATAACAACTGTGAGAAATGAAATCAGACTTGACAATGTACGATGGAAGGCAAACACTATCAACTCAAAATTCATTGGATGATACAAAATTTGTAATAAGAATTATCACTGACTGTGCAGGACATTTATGATCATGGCTAAAACTGTTTTTCATAAATAGCAAGAGCCAGACTAATTTATTTGCCAAAATGAGTCTTTCACAGACATTTCGAGGGTGAATTCGGGTAATCTGGGACATTTTTGAAATTGCTATTTTGATTTCTGTGACCTATATCTGTTTTACACATTAGATCAATATAGTCCACCTTTCTGTAATCCTTAAGATGTTTTCTAACCACACCAGAGGAAAGGATGCAGATATCATACTCAGAGGAGACATGACTCAGCTTTTAGTGTTCTTTCTGCCAAAAAAGAAAATTCTGCCTCATTTTGATAATCTGGGACAGGTCACTTTGTAATCTGGGACATTTGTATTAGGATTTACAAAAAACAACCTAAATCAACTTTCTATTTGCATGTCACGCTCAATATTACCAATTTTTAAAAAGTATTATCCAAAAGGACAGAAAGTCGAATGAGAAAATGTATATTATTCATAGAAATGTCTTTAACTCATATTGACAAAAAAAAGAAACAATACAATTCATTAAAACATTCTATTAAAGGTGTATAACCTTTTTTTATATCAATTAACAAACGTATCAACAGCAAGCAAAAATAAGATTATTGTTACTAACTGATTCATTCAGTAATTTGGGACTATTCAGGGAACAAACAGGTCCTTGCAGGTGAGAGACCATCATCATTGATCACCCCATTGTCTTCTCCACATGTTTGGTAAAAACAATGGCCGCAGACCACAGGACAGACACTCTTCAGTGCAATCAATTTAAACAGACTGTATTTACCATTAACTCCTGTCTGACAACTGCAGACCATAAACTGCATATCTTTAGTTTATCTTGTTTTTTTACTTCAGGAAGTCTTTAAATGCATATTCCCTCCATTTATAGAAATTGAATGACCCAGAGATTATCCATAGATGCCCCACATCATCCATCATGTTGGATAAAGGGACAGCTAAATATTTGAATACATTGAATAAAAAAACTAAAACACATTTTCAACAACTCAATGCATATTTAGTTGCTTGAATACATCACAAACATAATTTGGAACATAGTTTTATTTATAACAGATTTATATATCGTTAAATGAATCCTATCAGACTACTATATCATTGACCTTGTCATGCAATTCCGGGGGGGGGGGGGCTTCTGATTGACATTTGCCCCGCCCTTTCTGTGACAGCACTCCGATGAAGTCATGGGATTTCAGTGACATGATGTCCGTGCTAATTTATTGTAAAAGTCCTGTCGGCTTGCAGCAAAAAAAGCCAGCTGTTTTGTTTCCTTTCACATGTATTGTAAATTACTTAAAGGTAGAAACAGTCCTTGTCAATGCAGATAGCATGCTATGCTACATGCTAAGAATGCCTCTGCCCCACTGATGATGGTGACAGCTGAGCCGCACCTTGCACATCATGCAAAGCAAAATATTTCTGGAGACTTTGCACAGGTGATTTTCATTCCACATTTCATGCTTTTGTCTGGGGGCTAAGTAAATATGACATGCTTCATATTACTTACATGTCAACTGATTCTTCAGTCATCGCTGTTAAAGCAACAAATCCCAGCAAAGCTCAACATTAGAACACGTATCACAGTTTCTGTGCCACACTCACAGCACACTGTACAGTATGTACTTACTCCAGGTACTTGGTCCATGGTGCCGGGTCGGACATGGCCATGAAGCAACAGTTGGTCAGTATAGTGAACATTATGAACAGGCTAAACAATGTGGAGGAGAGGTTAAGGAACGTTTCCAGCAAAATACTGATTTACAGTCAGTCACAGAAAAAAAACTGTAACTGTCACCAACAAGATAACACAATCACAATGTTTCCCATAATCCTATGGAACACATCCATTAGGATAAACTGTGCGTGCCAATGGCATTATGACGACAGGACAGGAAGATTATAGAAAATGATATCATTCTCTCTTATGGATGAATGAAACCATAAGAAACAGACAATTTAAAACTTTTTAAAATCTGGATGAAATTACTGGAAATTAATCAGAATAATCAATTTGTCCTTCAATAAACTAAATTACGTAATGTGAATTTTATTGCTAAATGATCACACAGTTTTAATATCTGGACTATTTAATCGTCACTTTTAGTTATTTATGTTCTGTTTAGGTTTAAGAGAATAATTTACAGATCAATTGATTCTGTGTAATCTATGACATCGCATGATATCCAGAGGAAAGACCCCCCCGCATGTAAAGTGCAAATCAGCTATCTGGAAACTAATAGGCAGCAGTCACATGACGTGAAATCGCCTTGCTCTTATTTCATTTCAGAGATTAAAAGAGGGATATGAGAGGATTTGTTTTGTGAAGCCAGAGATGACCAGTACAAAGCTGTTTCCAAAATGGGACTATGGAAAAGTCCAATAGAAATCTATGGGGGCGAATCAGTAAGTATTAGAAATTGGCTTATGTGCCAAAATCAGATGCAAGGAGGTGTTTCTAGTATAAATTAGGTAATTAAATTAATATTTTGGGGGACATTTTTCTCAGGATTTTGTTCTCGGAAGACATCATTATTATAATTAAATATATAAACATATTTATATGTCAGTCATTTTCCCCAAAGAAGATGTTGACCCATTATTGCTACATTTCAAATTTGGTTAACGTCTCCCTTAAACACACAAACTAAGTCACAAGTATAGAAGTAACCAGCTGTGGTAATTTAAATGACTTTGGCAGGAATAAACATAGGCAATGCAAAAGGATATGAATGGACCAAAATTTTTATGGCAATTGATCTGATGAAGTGAAATGGAGTAAATATGTAAACTGCAGATGTGGCACTGAATCTGAAGATGGCCTTCCCTTTGTTAAGTACTATAAAAGTCTGCAAAAGAGAGAGAAACAAACAAATCATTCATAGGAAAAACATGTTTCAATATTAGTGTTCACAATTTGTACATAAGATAAATTATAACAGGACATCTAAAATTATAGATGTATTTCCAAAATGAATTGTTTAATCACGTACAGGAACATTTGTGTTACATCTGCAGAGAAACTCGACAGCAGCCATGAGCAGCAGTTTGGCCTTTTTCTTACCCATCGGCCAGGATATTATAGCTTCTGTGTTGAGTCTGCATCTTTGTCTACCATCTGTGTTAACTTCCACAATAAGCACTTCTACCCCCAAGAATGTGGTGAGCACCAATGCACGCACATCCCGCGAGGCCAGTTGAGTTAATGGAGGCAACTCCAAAGCAAGCTGGACCTCTCCCCAACAGATGTGACATTTATTTAAATATTTTTCTTCTTTGGATAATCCTCCCATCCAGCAGCGCATCACATGCCAAAACAAAGAGACCCTGAGAATGACTGCCACGACCTTTTTCATCTCTCCATAAGCGGCCCATTAATGGGTAGCAGCCTGATCTACCAACTCTGCAAATCAAAACTTGCTAATCCTATTTCCGCATCCACAAGAGATCTAAAGAGATGCAGTCACTGCTGCGGCTCAGCAAGCTGCTCTAAAACACCACTCCAGTGAAAACATCAGCTGATCTGGACAGTCACTGCCATATCATGTTTACAAGTACAGATGACAGCTGTATTGATCATTTAATATACAGCTAGTCTATCAATAAAGCTCATATGTGAATCAAATCTGTGGTATGTTAAGAACAAGACAGGACAGTGTTCTACACAAGAGCAAACCAGTTAATATCAATTTTAATTGTTGATGTCATGAATTGAGTAAAATAACTTTTCTTCAACCTCTGGGTCTTTTATGCTGAAAAGATCAATGTGAGTACTTCCACGAAACACATCATACTCAGTATCTGTCATACCCATCAATTAGGTTTCTGACATATGAACGATACAACAAAAATTAAAAAGAACAAACCAACAATGCATTGATTATTCTAAGATTACTCTATTGAAAACATGGATGTGAAACATGAATGTGCAGTGTCATATGTTTCATTACCATGAATATGGTAACTTTTCTGTCAGTCAAATCCGCATGTCCTGTTTTAAATACTCTGTGCTCTTTTGCTCATGTAATGTGTATTAATTAACAACTGAAATTAGTCCCC